CTTAAAGAGTAACATTTCAAATGAACATACTTTTTCCGTACGTATATGACAGACTTTTACGACTCAAAATATAGGCCTATGTCGTCTCACAATTTCTAATTTTAGTAGTCTGTCATTCACAAGTTATAGATTACATTTCAGATATGTAATATAATATGCCTGTTGATGCATGACTTGTGATGTAGAATCCTGTCAAGCAGCCTCAAAATAATGTAGTGTGGCCAGGTCAGGCGTTTCTGTATACAAAGTACCTAAAGTTTACGATCATTTCAAAGCCTTCTATTTTTGAGAATTTAAAAATGCCGAGAACAAAAACCATGATTTACAAAGAAAGTCCAATATAGACCATAGGCATATTTACACAGCCCGGCTCCTACCAAGAGAGAGGGGTACAAAAACATTTAGTACATTAGTCCGGGTGTCGGCTAACTCGTACACTGTATTTCATTAGCCCACTACCAGACAGGTAGAGTGATCATCGTGGTTAAGCTCTGTCCACACTATCAATTTTTCTGTTGTATGCCCATATATAGTGATGATGTGCCTATATATGGTCATGATGTGATGTCATCATGACCGTATTTAGGCATGTCACATGTTTTTGTCTGATTTGATAGTCTGGACACATTTCGTTCCCTCAACGGAAACCTTGAAAATCGTGAAAGTAACCCATTTGTTCATTGTCGTACGGTATGCATTCGGAAATAATTCCAGTGTGTAAATAATTAAGCCTGTTGGGTGATAGTATACTATTAGAATGTTTTGTCATATTTTAATTAAGGAAGGGATTTTAATTGTCTTTACTAAAGTAGGCCTAGGCCTATGCTCCTTTACGTGTTTTGTCACGCATACGTTTCAAATTCGTAATTCTCTCCTGCACGGCACTTATAGCCGATGTCCCTTCGGGTGACAACACGTCTGCAAAGAGGCTTTTCTTACTAATAGCTTATTTAATGTAAACCAGTAGTGCAGTACGGTATTCCTCGGCAATATATCATTGGTAAAAGGGAGATTTTCTTTTAATAAAAATACTATTCCGTTATTGTATACTGAAAAGACCCAGTAATGACCGTAAACTACTCTGTCCAACTCCATTTTCTGCATGACTTAAAACTGTATGTACACAGTGATCTGATTTTCCGCATTTAGTTTTCCTTATATACCGTAGTTTATTTTGATATTTTCGTATGAGTTGTTCCTTGTGTTTGATATTTGATGACTTTTGCACAATGTGATATGAAGTTTTGCGAGAAGGAGGCCATTTTTCATGACAGAACAGTTGTACAGATACAAAGTTTACTATCATTCTACTGATGTCAGTCTGAAATATTTCAATTATCATTTTCGTGAATCAGCCATTTACACACCGGCTTCTTGATGACCAGACAACAAAGTTGTAAGAGTGATAATTCCTGATTGGAGGAGTCATTCAGTTTTAATCTTGGCTTAGTGCGCGTAATTTCGCGTGGATCATCTCTCGCGTGGTCGATAGACAACCTGTTGCATCCCACCGTAACTCATAAATATGGCTACCTGCTAAGGTTACAATGATGCTGCCCAACATTATTTATGTTTTAGAATACATTCACAATCGTTGTGGTGATGGATTTGGCATTTATTTAGGAATAATTTATCGTTTATTGGAAGATACACAAGTTGAGGTCATAGGAGGTTGTTTTAAAAACAACAAATTAACAAAACCAATAATGTACTGTTTATGCTGTACGATGATAAGTTCAGAAGGTTGTGAAGGAAACAAGTGTTGTGAATATTGATTACAAAATATAGAAGCTAATCACATGTATTGGATGTCATGAAGGAAAAAAAAACTATCATAAATGAAAGATAGACTTGGATGTTAGGAAACGAATTTTGATACCGAAATTGTCATGAAATGCATTAGTTGTTGTGCAGTTTTAAAAACTAATATCAAGGTAATCTCTTTGAAGATGAAGATTTGTGGATTAAGTAAAGTAATGCTTTTTTAAAAAGAGAGCTAAGTATAGACATGCGCCAGTTAAAAAGTCAAAAAGTTAATGTCCTTGTGCGACACCTACAATTGTTGAACATATGTACAAAAGGGATTAATAAAGAATATAGTTCGGTTTAAAAACAATTATCAGGACATAATGAGAATACTGGAAGACTAGCCATTTTGTAACATCTTTAGTGAGTTAAGTATAGGCATGCGCCACTTAGAAAGGAAAACGGATATTGTCCTTGTATACCATACAATTTGTTAAACTCATGTACAAAAAGGATTAATAAAGAATATAATTCTGTTCAAAACAATACCAAGACATAGGATAGTAGGATACATAGGCAGTTCGTAACATCTTTAAATATAAAATCTACATGTTGAAGTGCATTGGGGTTGAATAGCTTGGTGGCTAAGGTACGGTAGTTGCACCCCACCCGCCGCACCTACCCATGGTCGTGGATTCAATTCTTTACACGGTAACAGGATTCTTTTCCTAAATCCGTGCCCAAATTAAGTACAAATAAGGAAACCCTAAGCAGTTAATCCACAAAGTAACTTGAAACTAACAAGTGTTCATCTGGTTTTAGTATTTGTACATTGGTAAAAGTAATCCCATTCACAAAATCCAATTTAAATTGCATTCAAAAACTCCTTTCATTTCTCTCACCTCCGATGAAAATATAAAAATATTGGTGTTTTAATACGGTATTGAATTATTTATGATTAAGGTACACGATTTTGTCACTAATGATTAGAATTGTTTCCACTAATAGGCCTATTTTATATGTTAATTACAGATATCGCAATATTGTCACATTTTAGGCAGAGGCTCAAAGATCACCGAAGGACAGGCACCGTTATGTTGGCCTATTATGATAGGCTGTGACTTCGTACAGTATAGTAGCCCTAGATGAAAACATCAAATGAAAACGTCAAGATTATCTGCAATTATAGCCTACTGTGTATTGTCTATGCAGATTTTACACTCACAATAACAGGTAATTAGGCCTGCTTAATACTAATACCCTTTATAAAACAATTCAACCGTCTTTTGTAGGGGAAATTGTTCAATGGCAAGTATAAACACACTATTCAGGTTACCTGCCGCTAAATATTGATTACAAAATTCTCGACAACCCTATTAATGGACTGTCTTGGCAACATTTACAACGGAGACAATGAATGATTTAACTTCTTTTTAAACTTTAATTGAGAAACTACAGTACAGTACATGGCCTATAGGCAGGATGGGTCTAATATTTCACAAAAAGGCTTTGAATCCACATTGGCACCTCAGTCCCATGGTTTGGATAAATTGTAAAGGATAAACGCCTCAGATGTCCGCAAAAATGGCATTAAAAATGCAAAATTTAAAATATTTGTGTTACTTTCAACAACTTCCATGCAAACGGTACTTTTTACTAATAATTTAAAGTGGAATTTCTGGAGAAAGGAGCTAACTTCTCGAACCCCTGGTTACGGGCTTGATAACGGAACCTTTTAGACTGTTACAAACGAAATGACAGTGTTCTAAACTACAGAGCTTTAGTGTGTGCATGTTGGTGTAGCAGGTGTAGTGATCTACTGTAAATCAAAGTAAAAACAATACTAAAAGATTTTTCTTATATTCCTGATTGTGCATGTCTAAAGACTTTAGGTTAAGATGTTGTAAAATTGTAATATATACCTCTAACTTTTTAATAATAAACCTAACCTTAATCGACGTCTAAATTACATCAAGTGCCTTAATATACTTTCGAAGGAGAATGAATTGTTATGCAATACGGTATCAAATTAGTTGAAATATTCCATGTAATTATTTTTTCGCGATACGTTTGTCACTTGAAAATGAACAACAATATTAATATCATTATATTATTAGCATTTGGTCTAACGCCTTATGACACTGTAATCGCCACCGAAGTACTTCATAAAAAAAACCGTCTTGACGGAATAATTATTAACAGATGAACCTTCCTTGTATGTACATTCATTATTCAGAATATATAATTCATTATTTAACATATAATTGAATACATTACTAATTATTTATATATAATGCATTTTACACTCCGTACATTGTGTATATAATGTTAATGAATTATAATAAATAATTGTTTAAAAAAAATAAATTTACACTTGGCGCCTCATATCCTTGTACTTTGTAAATAAAAATCGTAATGAATAACGTACACATTATAATAAGTATAATAATATAAATAAGAAACCAACCGTAACAGAGAAAGGGCACAAGGCACAATTTCAAGAAAGTCGTGCTTATTTATAAGCAACTATTAAATAGCTCTAACTATTAATAAAAGACGCACTTAAAATGTACCGCTCGAGCTAACTCGCTATTGTTGATAGAAATATAAACGTTCAGAGTCGTGATAATGTAACTTAATGCGGAGGCTTATTAAATTAAGTATGATGTTTATATTACTATTAAGGTATATGTTGAGCACCGTTACGTTCCGCTACTTTTGAGGTAGCGGATATTATCACTAATGCATCTATCTCAAAATTGCATTTGTATTCTCAGGGTTAATAATCTGACATGATTGATTTCTTGTTGAAAATATAACCATCAAGCGGGCTCTCCATTGGGTACAAGCGCAGAACGTTTAATCATGGTTTAACCATGGAGGTATATGGTTTAACCATGGAGGTATATGGTTTAACTTACTCCAGCCATTTTTACCTCGATGCTCCAGCATAGTACCGGATAAGTAGGCCTACACCTTGAATTTTCTGTACGCAAAACTGTGACGTAAACACTTTACATTACATGTTATAATCGTCACGATCGGTACATTAATGTTTAATCTAGTTTGCACTCATAAGGATATACTCTACTAATAAATATTTTGTTGTTGCAAACGAATGTAAATATTTTTGTTAGAGAGAGGAATTATTTTTGGGTAATAATGTGATTCTATGGACAGATATAGCGGTAATATATATATCTTATGAGGTAATCAATATAATCCCGTCATAGACGACTATACAAAATTTAGTAAACAAGAACAGTTTTATTAGCCTTAAAGTGTTAAGAGTGAGATGAATTTTGCTTCATAATGATATTGTAAAATATCGAAGAAGCTTTTAAATACGACATTGGTACTTAGAATTTTTTTGTTGATCAGTTAACAAGTATTGGGCTACTGGATGGTTGGTCCTTGGTCCTTGAGCAATATTGAGCACCGATCAAAATGCTGTGAACAATTAATGCGCATGCTCTCTGTTATTTTCTTAAATATTGATTTTGGTGTTTTTTTTTCATCGTTTATGTAATTCAGCTTTCATAATTGGAGTCGGTTTCCTGCTTTGAGAGTCATTAAATGTACACAAGCACTCATCTAAAGAATTTATCCATACTGTCGAGACCGATGTTAATACCAAGATTAAAATCAAGAACATCAAGTCCTCTTGCGGTGCCACATGTATTACAGTTTACTGTAAAATAATATTTTTATAAGAAAAAAACATGATTAAATTCAACTTTTAAATTTATTAATATTTATTATTAATTGATGGATTAGGTCAATCACAGAGAATATTTTAGGATTTTGTGACGACAATTTACTAGGCCTAAGCCAACATAAACATACTTACGATATTTAAATCAAGAGTAGAGTTAATGCTTGCTGATATCAAACATTGGAAAGCATAGAGATTTACGGACGAGCTAAGCATTACCGGTTCAGCATTAGGATTTGTACAAATATACATCACGCAATTATTGCTAATAGGTTATGTGCGAATAGATTGGTTCTGAAAAGTGGAACTAACTGGATAGAAAACATCCACAGATGAATGCGAAGAGGAAATGTAATGTTGATTAAAATTTATGTTAACTTTTGAACTTGACTAACGTTTTAATGCATCATATAATACCTCACAGAATACTCCATTTAATACATTAAGTTAGCAATGTATCTTCATATGCCAAATGATCACCATCCAGTCTAAGCGAATACAGTACAAGTTCATTCCAACTTAATGACTACGTACCGCTAGGGGGCAGCATTCAATTTTACGTCATCGAGTTCTTAATCATGACGGGATACAGTACTTACATATTATTCACCTGCATTAATACATTTGTTTAGTACCTGTATAACGTTTACGGCGTTTTGTTAGTATTAAGTACCAGTAGTTAGAAATATACCCACGTTAATATCCAAACAGCATATTCCCCCGGATCTATTCATGACAATCGACATAATAATTAATATTGAAATTTCACTGACGCAGTACACATTTAGTTTATTAGAGAGGTTAAGTTACATTACAATGTTTTATATTGTGAGATACCGCGTCTGAGCTGGTCCTACAATTAGTGTAAAGTTCTGAGAGCACTGTTGGAATTAGTGACCCAAAGGAACAATATAGTGTGGGCCTGTCCATGGTTCATAACAATAGGCTTTTTAATTCGGTATAAGTGCCGTAGTATTAGCTCTTTGGCAATCGTTATGTCGACGTACTGTTGTTTTACACATATTCGTATGAGATGAGTTATACCTCCATGGTATGAGTGACTAATGACCCGGATCGCTTTGTAAATGTACACTAATGAAACGAAATAGTGCATGACCTCTTGTCACAAACGTTATTTTTTCTATTTTTTTCCGCTTGGTAGGCCAGCAGACGCAGTGTGGCGTCGATATCGTGACTAAGAAGAATAATGATAAAAAATTAATGTGTGAATCATATATTTTACCGAGATAACGATTCCGTTGCAGAATTTACTTTTAAATAGTGCATATGAATAGGCCTACGATAATTTAAGATGTTTATGTCACGTGACTGATATTTTGCGTGCAAGTATGGATATCCTGCGACGCGTTGCAATTTTAAAGCTGCGGTATTAAATGGCGTCTTGAAAGTACACTAGATCTTTGGGGAATGGCGGTGTGGAAAAGGAAAATGGAATTCAATTATTGTATTGATACTTACCGGTACTCAAATCGTTCAAAGATTTTTTTGTTGTTGTTCTGATTGAAAATTATCTTTCTCGTACTCGAACATGTTTTCCTCTCGACGTTGTCGTTGTACTGAATCAAGAATAAGCGTTTAAATTAGGATTACTTCAAATTAAGATCGATCATCAACTCTTCGCAAGCACTTTCAAGCTTTAGTTTTTGTGATTACTGTATACAGAAGACGTCTACATATTGAATGATGACTCTGTTTGTCATTGCAACTGCAACCACGGCGCAATAATCCAATCTCTACATTATGATATTCATTCAATCTCGTAACAACCAAATGATGGAAATTACAACCGGTGGCCGCTGTGACAGGCCTACTACAGTATGCGTTATGAACTGATGAGAAATAAATGGCAACTACGTGGTTACGTTATCAAAGGACGGCACATAAACATCAGTATCGAATCCAGGAGCTGGGACACGGGTGGGAGTGGGGACGCGTGTGGCAATCAAGAGATGCGTCCAAATTTGGTCAGTATACCATTTGAAACAGGAGCATTTTTATGAGCCAGGGCTTACCAACCTTCAAATTGTGCCGCAATCATCGAATTTTGTCGTAATAACCGAGGTTTATGCAATTGATGTTCTCACTAGCTTTACTCTACCATCAAGAAACGTCTCAGCGATTTCTCTATAATGAAGGTCATGTATTTTGGATAATGAATCTATGTTTAAAGTTTGAATCCCAGATCCCATCATCGATGCGTTTATAACTGATCAGTCATGCTTACATTCTTCATTGTTCATTATGCATTAGTTATTATCGTACTGCAACATTATAGGCTAGGGAAATTACTACATGATCAAGGTTGTGTTTAATTGAGCAGAAGTACGTCTCCAATTGTACAGGATTTAAGCACTATTTTAACACTTCCACGCTCGAAATAATTCACTATGAAACATAAGATGTAAATAAATATAGGTGCTGAATTGCTAATCATCAAACCATGGTCACATATAATTTTTTTTTATCCACATAAGTTGTGCGGATGATTGTGAAGCCTTTCAAAGGCGCCCTCAGGCGAAGGTAACCTGTACTTCTCACTTACACAAATCCTGACAATGACCTTGAAACCTCCACATTTTATTAAATTCCAAGGGATTTTGGTTTCAATGTTTATAGAATCACAAACAGATGCGAGCAAAGGAAACAGTCCAGTGATTTTCAGGGTGGGCTAGCTGAAGTGGAGACATTGCATTTTACGGATGCGTTTTACGTGATGCGATACAAAAAAGGTAAATTAACTTTGATAAGTGCAAGGTTAGATCTGCCCCTGTCGGATTTCATTTCCGCACAAATATCTAAAAGTTATTAATTCAGCGGTTTACTTACAAGTGTTTTATTTAAATCAAGCAAATGAAAACAACATGACGTAATACACAGACGATCAAGGCTTACAAGTTATGTCAATGTATGGGACTCTATAGTCGGTTTGATGCCGAGGAAATTACACCATTAATCGATTTTCAATTGAAATTAATTTTTGCGGATCTTCTGGAAAGTCTGAGCTGGTACTGTGTAACTCAAGCTATGGAAAGTACTTTAACAGCATACACTTTTTCTGTAGCTGAATCAGTGAATAGGCCTAGGCCTACTCTTTGACTTGTAAGTTCATACATTATTCTTTTTGCGTCTATCGCAGGTTCTCCATGAACCCAGTGAAATGTTACGTTCATTGTTGTATCATTTCATATATCACAACACAACAAACTTTCTGGGTATTTTTGCCATTGATTGACCCCTCGACTCGTTTGCATACAAACAGCAAACAAAGTCAAGCGTTTATTGCATCGTTTATTGACGTGAAGTGTCAATTCTTCGACAATAAAAGCAATTGTCAATGATTCTCCTGTCATTTATAAATACAGTCAATATTGGACTCAATATTTGCAACGATTGCAGTTAAATTGAGTCATATTTCTATCGACACCTGTTGCTGAGAAGACAGGTCTACAAAGTCCTGTATCACTCTGAGTTCTTCCTCCTTGTTTGGCTGTCAGTTCATTCACGATAGCCGATTAAAATTACAGTACTTGCAACCATGGTTACGCTTAGGCCACAGACAGCATACATAATGATGATGCTTAAAAGAAATCATAGTTTGCAAGCTGTCAATCACTATATCAGCCATCAGGAGAAAAATCCAAAGCATTAGGAATGCGATTTATAGCTTCGTTCACTGCTATTCACCTAGCTCATAATACATGGCTTTGTTTTTCTTTAATTATGCCTGGTAGCCGCGACACATTATATGCTTATGGGTTTATCCGGGTATCTTGATAGCATACACACCTATTCTGAAATTCAAGATACTTGAATTGAAAAACAAAGTGCAGCTTTCGTCTGTGTCAGGATGGGCCCCGAAGTCTCAATTCTATTTTATAGGCCTATCCGTCTTTCATCATTCTGATGATCAAGGTTCGATGACCCAATGGGCCTGGAAATGTACATGTCCAAACGGTCAAGTACAGAGACCATGCTGTTTTAGCTCTAGGCAAGATTTCTATAATCTCATTTTAAGAACTGTTGAATGTCTACGGATTTGTTCTAATACAATAGGAGGAAATCAGGTTGATCACCATAGAAAAAACCTGAGGCCTCGGCGAGTAGTGGTTTATAAAGCCCCTATAGGCATAGTTCCCCCATAGCGACATTTTCATGCGTCCATGGTTACCCGTGTTACGTTACGTCATTATCCCCGCACAGTTCAATTCGCCACGATACTCATTTATCGTCGGATTTAGTCAATTATTCGAATAATATGAGACTGAAATTCCCACGGAATGAGTAAGCATTCCTCATGATAGAGTTTCTATTGAAATAGAAAAGGCTATGGATGTGTAAAAATTAGTCTCCTTCAAATGACGAAATAGGCCTACTCGATAAAGTATTGAAACAGACTTGACCTGTGTTTATGTTTGAATTTTAAAATACGTTGCCTGGTAACGAAAGTACTCAGTCGGAAATATTATCAGTGGACAGGAATTCGTATTTTAAATCACTTGATATAAGTTTCTTTTACGTGTAATGCGTGTAATGAAGGTTTTAATTTCAATGTTAATTGATTTCTTTATACAGTGTTAAATGCTAGGCTTTGTGAACAATGCTGAAGTTTGCGGTCAGTACGCCCTTGGAATGCACCTCCGAGACGGGAACCTGTCCGCCCGAGGGATCCGCAACCAATGCTGGCAGTACAAATTCAGATTATGGTAAGGAATGTTCCATTTTCTTTTTATTAACGACGTACTGGGACTTCGTTGTATAAAGTCTTGTTTAATTGATGTTTACTCATAAATCGAATATATAAACCTTAATTAGGCCTGTTTGAAAATATTCATCCAGGATGACACACCTAAACAAGTTACGTGCTTTTTTTAAAACTCATTTTTTAACTTTATTCAAAGAAACAAAAGGCCTCAGGCCCACTCCAACAAAAATAATCATTGGTATGTGAAGGTATCTAACAACATCTACACAAACTTTCTTTATTAAATGGTGAAGAAGGCACTTTAAATTATCAAATGTGTTGGATCATGTATTAAATGGAGTCAACGAGTCATTACTGTACCATCATAATGCTAATTTCAACATTTCACTTGCGGCGTAGATACGGTATACGAAACGAACTATCTAATGCAAGCTTAATATACATCATGGTTCGCTTTTAAATATAGAATGATTTTGTTTCAATCTATTTTTGCAATTTATCATTTCGTTATTCCAATTCTGGTAATCTATATCAAGGCAACTCTGCATGAACAAGTTTTAAAAAGGCAATCTACACCATCGATTTATCTAGGCCTATGCTTCACCAAAACCATAATGAAATAATAATTAAATCGACCATAGTCTGCCTAGTACTCATCCTTAGTAATCCCAGCGGCTGCTCCAGACAGCCAAGGTAAATATCAAGAATTATTTAAACCTTCAAATGGTACCTATTTAGACAATATCATCCCAAAAATGATCATAATATTAGCCGATGCATCGGTATTGAAATGTTGCCAACTTTTTCCATCATTCAGACGATTTATGTACATAAAGTCCGTAAGTCACCGTCACCCCGTGGAAAACATTTATTCCCAGTGGCTAGCGCGAGTCTTTTGTACGTGTTCGTACTCGTTCTGTGTTGCACAGGAACGTAGTCGTAGTGCTGAGTTATTATATAGTTATTATAACTATTGAATAGTTAATAAATAAATAAATGATGATAATGATGATGTATTGGCGATGTTGATGATCTGTAACGATGATTGTGATGATGATGATGATGATGATAACAATAATAATAGGCCTAATAATATAAGTAAGAGCAAAATAAAAACAAGTTGCAGTGCAATTTGATCAAGTGGGTTTCGTGGTAGGTCTAGAATTTTTTTGTCTGTGTATCGAACGAGACATAGGCCTTCGTTCGCCTCGGATTAAATTATGATAGGTCTATTTATCTTCGAATTATGACATTCAATTTTAAACAAGTGGGTTACTGTTGATTTTTGTTTTGTAGCCTAATTTATGATCAGACGGAACTGACCAACTTTTTATGTACCCATTATTGAGAATCCATTCGCCTCGCCTAATAAAGACGCATGTTGTATTCTACCTATATACATCCTTACTATTTAATCACGTCCCCAAGGGAACAAGGTAAATATGCAGTAATTTCACTGTAAAACTATAATCAGGATTTTTTCTTCGCTTTTTACTACGTCATTTCAAATGCCTGGGGACAGTAGCAACGCTGTACATTTCACTTACCCAGGCGCGTAAATCGCATATGTACATTTTGAGGTTATTCGTGTGAAACAAATTGCCATGGATTTGGAACAATAAAACGATTCATAGTAAAGGAGTATGTACCATACTGAATTACTTAAAAGATACAATCCCGTGGTGGAAAGAATGTCCCAATGAATATACTTTAGCTCAGTAAATCTCCTGATGATGCTAAGAATTGCACTGATTTTGTTGAATCGTGTCGTATCAGCATCCTGCACTTCCGCTTCGATGAATTCCTCTAAATTTCTGCAATTAGGTATACACTTTTTTTTTTAAGAACCAGTAAAATTTTGCCAGGTTCAGTTAATTTTTTTGCCGATTTCATGCTCAAATTGTTCTTCTTTTGTTCTTATTTTTACACACTTTTCAAACATAGAAAATTATTACATAGTGTACAGCAGTATTATCTCTATACGGTACCGTATTACAGAGGGTATTAGTCATACTTGGTCATTGGTCATACCTACTGCAAATAACGTACAGATTAGATTTGTTGGTTTTCTAGTTTAAAAAAAATAAACACCTCATTTGACATTTTACCTCAGCCTCAACTTGTTCTTATTTTGTTCTTAATTTTAAGCAGTTTCAGCCTCAGTGTTGTGTTTTTATAATTTAATATAAGCAAAAAAACGTGTATTCCGTCAGAATATAGGTCAACATTAATAACCCGCCATTACAATTACCGAAGTTCAATGTGCTTGTCAAAAGCTATATCTTCTGTAAAAGCATCATCATTAGGATAGTTATGTAAGGAAACATTATTAGATTCGATCATTTTTTACCCGTTGTGATCTGAATGTTAGGTCTATTCTAAATTAAATTAACTCAATGATTTGGTACATCGAGGCCTGACCACCCAGATTCGTTTTCAGTCATCAATTTCTCAAACAATAATATATTATAATAATTTTTGTATTACTTTGTATTTGAAATTTGGTATTTTTTTGTTGTGGCTCTGGAAGTAAATAAATGTTTTGTTGAATTGAAATTGAAAAAAAAATTGAATTGCGCGAATTTTTTGCAAAAAACGTTTTCTCATACAGGTAAGATATTTAAGGATCACAACCCAATTTCTTTTTCCGCATAGGAAGGCCGATATTGTTAGTTTGGATGCCTTCTAAAGTGATATTAAATACCATGTTCACTGTCAGTCTGTAACTTAAGTCATTGGAATTTCGAAGAGGTGTTGACTTATATCGCGCCGACAAAGGCAGGCAAGTGAAGAATTACTTTCGCTCGTGGACACGGTCCGACTTTTCCGTCAGAGGTTTAAACTCAATAAATCTGGAGACCATGTTGCCGTCCATTCCATAATATCTTTGAAAATTAACATAATATTTACCGTATAACGTTTATATTTCTAACATTAAATCATTGTATTGTGGTGAACAATCATGTCTGGGCCTTTTCCATAAGCCACGAGTCGACTTGGATTGTTTTGAAGGTGTGGACCTAAGAGGATAAAAGTACATAAACGTGCGTGTTTGTGGGACATGCGCGTATAGTGGGCTACCAGACGACGCGTTACGGTACCGTATGTTTAGTACGGTAATTAAAGATTCATTGACAACTTGGAAAGATCCATTAGCAAAATAGGTTGATAAAGGTTATCTGGCAAATGATTGGGATTAAATGCTTTTTGTCCCCATCAAGTCTCTACAGTCATGTTAACTTTCACTTTCGGGGCATGCTCATAAACAATCGTTATTGTGTCTGACACGTTTTACCAGAGTGTTGACACTTGACACCAGCAATTTCCACAATACACTACGATATGTTGGAAGAAGATGTTGATCATATTTACGACGACGACGATATGTTTATGACATGTATTGGCGATGTTGATGATCTGTAACGTTGATTGTGATGATGATGATAATAATAATAATAATAATAATAATAATAATAAATAATAATAATAATAATATAATAATAATAATAATGCTAATGATTATGTTGATGATAATGAGAATGAGTATGATGATGAGGAGGAGGAGGAGGGTGATGATGATGAGGAGGATGACGATGATGATGATAAGGTATACCGATGACGATGTTGATGATGATGTTGGTGGTGGTGTTGATGAGATGATCATCCAGGCTGTCTGGCTTGTGCTTATAGAAATGGAAGATCTTCCAGTCAACACGACAGAGTTCAGCATGACGTTAAACGTGGCAATGAAGATTAGAAAATAATTTATTATAAAAATGATAATAATATGATTGATGTTGACCGTACCAATCACGTTGATAAAATGACGACGATGTATAAAAGATATGATAAGATTTACCAGCATGACATAGGCCTAACATTTAATGCCTGTACTAATACTAATAAAAAAAAAAGGGGGTTGATTGATTCAAATGTCTGCTCTGTTGCAAAATTATACCAAACTTTGGTCCCACTCCCAGATTTTGAAGCAACATAACATTTACAAAAACTGGCAAAGGTCTATTCCACCGTGGAGGTATCCAACAAGTCATAGACAAAAGAAACAACTTATGAGCCGCACTTTGTGTCCTAAGGGCTTGGAACATGGGTGGGTCACGGTCATCTGTATTTAAAATGCATCTCACGTAAATTCTCTATCGTCAGCAAATTATCATTCATATGTATAAACCATAAAATTTATCTGAATTTGTCAACGATTGCTCCCAAAGTCACGCATTAGAAAAGTCGCCAATGGATCACTTCCGATAATAGTGATAATATTACTTAACAAATACAGTGATAATATGATTTAGCTAAAGCGAAATAAATGATTTAAATTTCATATGGTTTTGTTGGGTTAGACATGGTGGTTTGAAACAGTAATCGAAAAACCGTTGTTAATTATCAATCCGTAATTGAAAAGATATCTCGCAGGCAGGCAGTCTCTAATGCCGACACCGATGTAGACTATTGTTTGTAGCCATAGCTCATGCATTATTTTAGCGATATTATTCGAAATTCAGTTTAAAACGTTGTAATATTGAGAAAATAGGCATACACATTTATATTATGGACAAATGTAACGGCAAGGAAGGGCGGGCATCTGGCATAATGACGGTCTTTAGGCTTAGAACTATTACTACTAGTTAAATTTACATATTATTTTAATTTATTTACTAATTTTTATTCAGCTCTTGAGATCTTCGAATCGGGACGTTGATTAATTTTGTAATAACAACATTATTAATGACTTTAACTTATGCACATACTAAAGACGCTTCTCACATTTCCATTATGTAAAAATGAAAGAATTAAATGATTGTCCCAATAGAACTTGAACCGGATGCTAGACCTACAGACTATGCCAATCTATAAATTAAATCAGTTGACAATAATATTATATTAATGCGATGATATACGGTAACTTATAAGCCTATATAGCCTATGATCGATGCAGTCATTGTAGAGTAAGTGAAAACTGCAGGGCTATTATGAAATATAAAAGGTAGGCCTGTGCCACAACCGTTTGTCATAATGCAATGGTTTCATGATACTAAATTAAAGGTAGGCCAAAGTTTTTAATGTCATAATAAATCATTTCATGTTAACGTCATGCAGAACCTAGAACAAAAAAAAAATCGCTGAGCAGAATTGAGTTAAAGACGGCGCACCTGGCAGTGGTACTGTATATTGATGCAGTGGTGGATTAATTACAAGGAACGGCGAGGGTGGTACGGTACGACCGTACGAGGAAGGGGTAAATTTACATCTGACCTTTTATAGAATAGTATCTTGTGCTTGAGTTGTGACTTGGTGATTAAGATGCTAGCTTTCCATTCCCAAGGTCTTGGGTTCACATTTCTATGTGCTGCCTATTTACCGTATTTCTCATTCATGTGTAAATAGGCCTACTAATATAATACAGTATACGGCGGTACCGTATGAGCAGCCATTTCCTCCACCATATCAGATACCGGTATTGAACAGGGAGATTTAACCCCGTTTCTGATTATTTTATCGTTTCTACCCTTGAGATTCTAAAGAACAAAACCTCGTTTTGAGATATTCTGTTAATCCTTTAATCGAGTGGATGTAGTCCGGATTAACGATTAATAATGACGCTTACAAACAGTACCGTAATCATGTATATAACAACAAAATATAATATAATAATTATAATTATATTGGCCTAACATTATCTTTATCATTTATTATTATCATCATTATCTCACCATCATTATCATTATTATGATCATCTTCATTGGTTACAAACTCATCATGCCGTTTGATTTTTATTAAGTATTTCAGAGGTCGCAATGAGAGAGCCTCATCCACTAATTTTTAAATTCTTCATTCTTATCGCTCGTGCTATCGGCGACGAAGGACGATTCCGCTCCTCTGCGAGTCGTGCCCTCAATTTGTTTTGCAATAGTATCATTAGTTAAATTGTAGCAAAAGGCACACGAGTCGCCCATGTGTCGCTTAGTCATTACCCTCGTGGGTTAAATATTGATTCAAAAGATACATACGCTTAATTTTTAACGCTTTTTAAGACGAGTAGTTCACCCAGGCGTAAGCCCTAAAATTCCAAATTGACGCTCCTCAGCCAAATGGCATGCAGGAAAAGGTTGCGTGGAACAGGTGAAGAAAGGCAATTAGGCCTATCATCACGCCTAATTTCAGAAGTTATTCCGATAGATGGAATATTCCCTGTATAGCATGAATGACTGAGTCAAGACAGTTAGTATGTAATATTGAATCAGGAGATTGACGTTACGTGGGAAAGTATATGATTCAGAATGTTTCTGACGGATTAACCATAATCAAGCAGGATTCTTTTAGAATAAATACACCCGTAAGCAACTCCGATTTCAACTCGCTTCAATAACTATCAAATATGTAGATTTCATGAAAAGCAATAATTAAACAACCATTAAACAAAGTTATCACTCTGAGTTTCCTATATATTCGTCGTGGGAAATGGTTAGTGTATTTTGTACGTAGATTTATCCGTGTGGGAATGGATTCTTACAATTAATTGAAATGTATCCAACTTGGTGTAGTAGCCAGCGTCGCGTTTAAAGTTATTAATAACACTTGATGATGAAAAGTGGTTTTCGTGTGAAACATTTGGCTACTTTTGTTGATTGATTTTGATTAATAAGGTATTTATGGGATGGTAATGCATCAAGTGATGCTATACTCAAGTTGACGTTTTATCAATTACTGGCAATGTTGCTTTATCATTTTGTCAATAGCTATCGTGTGTTAAATCCTTTGCGTCGCCAGTACAAACCCCATCGCAATCTCACCGACAATAACTTTCAACAGTTACTACACGTAGCAATTATGGTTATTTATCACTCCCTCTTACTGTACTATGAACAGACTACCCCAGTTCGCGCGTTCTCCCTCAAATCTCGTTGTTTAAACTTTATGAAATCGTTAGCTATTTGTTTACCTTAGAATTCGTTATCACGAATGGGGATAAGGCAGATGTTTTAAGGCACGCCGAAATCTGTGTGAACTTGTCTGAAACCCAAACTTCAATGCAAATACACGGACACTGAAAACAAAGCTGTTAAATATGGCGAAAGGTAATGAAATAATATGAGCCGCATTAGAATCAATAGCAATAACACAGATTCAGCGGAATTGGAAGAAATTTGAGGTAAATTTGCAATGCGTCAGGTCCAATCTCTTCTCTCGCATGAATTCAAGCCTTGACAAAGATTTGTAGCCAACCTAATTGAATAGTGGAATAATTAAAATCTCCAGTCTTAATTTGAGTTTACACCCGCCTTTTTCGACAAGAATTACAACAGAGATTTGGTTTCCTTTTCGATCTATTCGGTAACATTGATGGTTAAATAGGCGTAAATTATCATAAACACACAAACACCTGTACATCGTAACTCCACTAGTGAGTTATCGACCCGGTTGATAGGGGGCGTTTAGAATTGCACGCTGACACGACAGTAATGTAGTTTATAGCCGCCGGCATATTTTTTATCAGACACACCGAAAAAAAATCATAACAATTAATTGCATTGAAGTGGGACAGTCGCACTGGTATTTATTACAAGACAATATACCCAGAGGCTTTAGATATCATATTAATTGCAACTTAAACACTATTCATAACACAATTGAGTATGCTATTATACGTGTATGAGATCTTATTATCTGGAAATTGACTTTCGAAAATAAATACAGAAGTGATTAATTACAATTTTCCCCAAAACAAAACGATCAAAGATGCCGCTTTTACTGTAAATGAATTCAGCTTTTATGGTATTAATGACTTTGTAATTCCATGGAACTTTGATCCAACGCACATGGGAGCTTATGTTCTGATAATGATGTTGGCGTCATGGGAAAATATCTTCGCTGTTAACTTCTTAAGCCGGTAAATTACGGTCCTTGTGTAGGTACTAATTTTGCAGTGTTATAACATAAAAATGCTATGTTGTACAGTTATATTCCTCGCTCGCTACTGAAATGCGGTTCATATATGGCACTTTTTGTTTCACACAACTTATTACCAAACATATATTTTTTTGTAATATTGAATAATCGTTTTGTAATTTCAGGTGGAGAACATAATTGTGCTGTTTGCGAGTCCAGACGTCGAATAGTGGTCATCGAAAAGACAAGAGCCGCTCGCCGATCGAGATCACGCTCAAGAGAACGCAAAAAACAACAGCTAGCAGATGATGATAAGCCGCCTGGGTGTGAAACTAGTCCTCCTATTAGACGGAGAAGGAGATCGCTCTCTCGAGAACGACGTAGGAATAGTGTGAAATTAAAGTTTATTGAAAACAATGACCCGCGAAAAATAATCAATATTCATGTCAGGAAATCAGAGCCCGTATTTATTGAATCTGGCGTATCAGACTCAAATCGGGACGTTGACAGTCTTTACTCTAATTGTTCTGAATCAGGAGCCGAAGACCATTCGTCTTGCTTTGCCGATTCTGAAACTTCATCTTTGGTAAGTTACGACGAACTTATTTATTCTGAGCTCAACCGAAGAGGGCGCCAAAGGGTTCGATTCTGTGAGGAATCAATCATTCGAAGTGAACATCATGAATATAAAATTGCACAAATAAGAACTGCGCCCCCGGCGTATGATCGTCGGTTACAGGGCAATAGGACACTAGATATTTGTCAACGGTTAAATGACGTCACTCTTTCCGCAGACGACGAAGCCGAAGATGAAAAAGAAAATGATGAATTAGTTCTTCCTATCTTTATAAGATACCCGGTTAAGTCTTCAGAACGAACATTTTTAAAATCAGACGAAAACAAACCGTGTGTTGATCCAATCGATACAGATATGTTAAATAGTGACAATGCAAGTTATGACCCTACTCTCGCCACTCAACGAAATATTTCAAGTGAAACAAAGAGTAAAATTAGTGGTAATTTAGAAAGCCAGAATGAATCACCGCGACGGACACAATCTGAACGTGCATCTACGGACGCTAAAGACATCGAAGAGCTGGTGCTGAAAAGTTGTTTTGGGAACCAGAAGTATTTAGAAATGGTCACCAGTGACTATGAATCCGAATCTGTATCGTCTGGTGATAGTATATCTGCATCAAAGAGGAGAACAGGTCGCAGACTATCACATGCAATTGCCGAAAACCCTCCAGGTAAGTACTTGTCATTATGTACCGTAAGTTTTATGACGTCATTTCATAAAGTGTGCCACTGTTATGATATGACGTCATGATTGCTTTCGGAAACGAATTCACCCTTTTCTATTTAAACCACCATAAGCTCTCATCTTTAATTGGGTGTCATCATGGAGGGTGTGATACTGTGCGTTATTAAAATTACTTTGTAATGCCTCGATCCATAAAATCGCTACGCTGTCGCAGTGTTTTCAGCGATCGTAGTACTGCGTACCAGTCCCCGATTCGACCGATCAATTGGCATCACCAAAAGCCCTCGGTGATAGCGTGAAGCGATTGCATGGAAACAAAGCTTAATTACAGTGCGCCTAATCTGAGTGTGCTATATATTATAATAATAATGATCATATTGAATTTCTAATGTTGCTCCTTTTCTCCCTGTTTAATATTACCATATCCCTAGTCATTAACCAGAAAATGCATCCACATTGGTTGAAAATAAATTGGATTATACATTACCTTTATCTCAATATGTCTTCACAACTCAAATAAATGTGTTTTAATGTGTGGATATTTTTTCCCTAGATGAAAGCGTACAAGATAGTCGCCCGCTTGCCAAACCATTCCATGAAAAAGACTCTGAAACGCAAGAGAACATGAATATCAGTGATTCCGAGTTTGACTTGTATAATCTAACAACCAAAACAACAGTGTTGTACCCCCACAAAGCGCTATCACCCGGGGAGTTGACGGTGCAAACGGGTCAAGTAGTCTACGTTGATCCACGAGAACTGTACAGTAAAAAAATCTGGGTAATAGCCTACATGGTATCAACTGGAGAGTGTGGTTTCATTCCGAAAGTAAATCTAGCAACAAGGAAAATGGAAAACATCGTTTAAATTTATTTTATCGAAAATTTTCTACAGCAGGGAAATGACCATAACTATGATCACCAATCAATCACGTCACATATTTATATAGGCCTAGTCCTTTTATCAGTGAACGGTTATGGTTTGTTCATTTTGAAAAAATGGGCTGTATACTTAATGACGTCATCAACATTGTGCAATTGCGCGTACAGCGCGGGTGATGACACACTTAAGTGTTAGTGATACTTTTGCGTAAAATGGTTCATGTCAACAACTGTACTTATACGATTGATTAAAACAGTTATTCATATCAGTAGTTGAAGGACTACGGTACTTCAAGCATTGCAACATGACTACTTTTGTTTTTGAAGATTACTTTCTGAAGATTGTACTGTATTTAGTATATTCTTTTTCAATAATAATGTTGGTTTTCCGATTGTCAATTTACCTTTACCTAACTTTTTGAACGGATTGTGTTAATACTTTGATTATTACGGTATATCATTAGAGTATCTGATAAGTATATGTTGTGTGTAGTATATAAAATGTTTGTGACGTTGTATTATACTATATTATATAATGACTTTTTTACTACAATATGTGTGATTCACTCTATGACATTGAGCTTCAAGATATAATGTGTTCGAACGTGTTTTGACGTGCATGTATTATCAAGTGTAGGTCTATTTACATAATGGTGAAATGATTTTAACGATTACGAAAGTACTATAGATCGAACCCTTAATTTCATATAGTATATATTTTTACAACGTGCGGAATATCTGTCAGTGTATGTAAAACCGAACACTAATCATCAGATTATGCATACAAATATAGGTCTACCTACTTAACCACCGCAAAATCTCCTTAGTAGGCCTATAATCTCTACCTCTATAGTACAGGTGTAAGCTACAAACCAACCCATACGCGTACTGCTGCTTTTCGGTTGTAACGCAATAAAAGTCGATCGTTAAACTTTCATAACATAGCCTTTAAGAATATATTGTAACAACTAAAAAAACTCCCCAGGAGACTATATATCCCTACCTCTCATATAACACAAGTAAGCTACGATACAACAGAAGGAAACCTTTATTACATAATAGTTTTTACGCCTAGGTCTTTAAGCACTATGCGTAAAAAGTATTAGTATTTTCGATGGTTGTGAACTTCAGTCAGATTTTATAATACGGCGCACGTAATGTATAGTGATTTTAACAAATACATAAGCTCCCATTAGAACCCTACCTTTAGAATAGATACGATACGATAGACGAATCCTTATTTACATCATTGTATTTCTACGCACAATGCGTACAAACGCTAATGACGCTGTTAAGGAGATCGGCCTATTATTTAATGAAACTGATTGTGACTACGATAATTTTGGCCAAATGACTATATTTAAGTACATATTTATGTTTTTTATATAATTTTTAAAATAGTTGATATTAAGAAATATACTTTATGACATTTTATAGAACCAACTCATAGAATTTGTTTTACCTTTTATTTGAGAGAATGACATTTTATGTGTGTGTATTTCATGTTGTGTGTTGTTTTTACATTTAAACAAAATCTAAAAGTTTTCAATAGTTAAATGAATCTTAAGTTTTCAACACTCGTCCCAGGTCAACTAACTATCTATGTTAAATGCCATTTTAAGGAGTAACTACCGGTATGTTGCGATGTAACATTAATGAATTTTCCACAAAATCGCTATTAAAAGATTGTAAAGATACCAGAAATGCAATTTTCCATTGAATACACCTGGATAAAATAATATTTTCGGTGTATAACAAACATATGGCAATCTATAAATCAATCTATAAATATAAGAATACTCTCGTTTTCCAATTTGATGTTTCACGACCTGTGTCATGTCTAAAAAGTTAATCATGAATTTTTAAAGTCTTGGTCACATTATAAACAACTACGATATGGTACTGTATACTAAGCAATGTAAAGTCTGTGTTGTCGTATGAATGGCATTTAAATCATCCATTCATGTTACATCCAAAGTATTATAACGTGTAATGGCTGTTTTAATAAGTGTACCGGTGTGTCCATAATACATATGCCCTCTATGTTCAAACTTTCTCTTCGACACTGGAGGAAATAAAAGAAATACAGTATATCTCATCGTATTCTATTTGTTTGTTTAAACATGTGCTAAATACAACACTTGATGAGGATAAAATATTAACAATACTAATGATCATAATATAGTCAAAATCAATAGGCCCTCTTACATGCGGAATATATTCAAGATTCAATCATTTATTGCATCCTACAAAAACTATCATGGATTATTATGTACTAATATATCAGTCATGAGGTAAACAAATTTAAAATTTTAATCTCGCATTCGAATTGCTTAATTTGTACAAGTACCGGTAAGTTATAAATTTCAAATTAAAAATTTGAATGAGAAAAAAAATTCCCCCGTCCATTTTCGGACAGTTAGCCTAAATAATAACTTGCCTGCATTCATTTTCATATCCTTAAATTGGTTGGTAATCAATTTAAGGATTTTTGTAGAAAAATTTCTAAATCGGTGAAAACTCGATCTGTTTCTCGTTGGAAACTAATAGTTTATTTTGATCCTCTTAATTGAGCTATTCAAAATTGTATTTAAATTTTGAATGTATTTTCCAGTCTTTTTGAATGAGTGCATCTATACACCAAAAATACACATAGGGGACTACATGTCCCACCCATTTCCTAAGAAAACTATGCATTATGGGGTAGGTAATATGGTATCACTAAAAAAAATGGATGTTACAATTTTTATGGTAATGTGAAGATGATGACGTTGACGATGATGATAAAATTTACGATCATTGAGCAGTTGGGCCTAATATATTAGCAACAGCCTAAATAATTTTATGAAATTGTCTTCGGGACTGTTAATACATTCATGTTGATAAATCGTACACGTGGATAGATGGCATTACTGTATTTCTGACCGCATGACGCCATATAACAATAATCTGGTACTGGTACAAATAGTCGTCTTTTCCAAGACATTTGGCAGACATTGACTTGACGTTGTCATTTGTAGGATACTGCTTTTAAAGCTATACAATGTGAAGCGAACCAACAGCAACACCGTCATTATCATAGAGGAGAACAATATAATGAAATAATTATCATGATTTAGGTTAAAATCAGCGTAATTAAAAATATATCCTTAAAATAGCATACCGGTACTAAATTGATAAATTTTCATTAAAAATAATGCTTTTATACAATTAAACTACTTTCTAGTGAGTAAAATGTTATTGTGTTGAGAACGGAAGTTTAACAGTTTTCATGGCAAAAGTTCAGTTTAAGCTTATTTTTACCAGGGGCATAGGCTGGGGGGGGGGGGTTGCGGCCGTTCCCTCCCAAAAAGACAAAAAAAGTTTCGCTGGTGTAGGCCTAAGCAGGCCTGCTATAGCACAACAATGAAACATTTGCAGGACAGCAAGTAAAACTCGATTAGCCCAAAAGTACACATATTATATGCCTAGTCGTAAAACAAAATAAAAAGTCTTTTTTTTTTTTTATCCTAAAAGTGAATAAATACTATGTCTGCTTGTACAACAGAACATAGGGCTTTTCCTCATTGATATAATGACAACTTAAGTTGAACTGCAAAAAAAGAAAAGTTCTTAAAAAGCATAATTAAGGTTTAAAAAAATCTGGGACCTCAGAAATTTAAACGACCCTCCAACTTACACCCAAAGTGGATCGTCCCTAACACATAATTTCTTCCTTGTAACTCGGCTAAACTTTCCCGAATGTTTCATTCAGATCAGTTGATCCATTTAAAAAATATCTGGTCTGCGACGTTTTTCTTTGAATCAAGCACACACCCTACTCCGGATTGTCACAAAAATTGAATCACTTCTTTACTAGACCTTGGCAAACTGTTATACAAGGTTTCAATTATACCCATTGATTTTTTTAAAAGAGATATTTAGGTCTGGGACATTAAAAAAGGGCCGTAGCCACCAGAATTGAAGTGGTCAGGTTGCAAGCGAAGCGAGCACTGAGGCTGGGGTCAGTGAGCCGCCAAAGGGCTCCCGTTCGGGTTCAGGGGCCAGGGTTCAGGGGCCCGGGTAATATTTTCTATTTTTCCATTGTATACACCAATTTTAATGATGTTCTGTAGTTAGTAATCTAATACATAGTTTTTAAAATTTTATTTATTTATTTTTTTAATGGAAATATGTTGTAAACTAACATCAGGGCTATGATGAAGCAAAACAATAAAAACGCTTTGAATTCAAAACAGGCAAGCTGGGTTTATTAAAGAGAAAGCTTGCTACACATAGCATTGATGTTATTTTAGTACATGCCTTTTACATTAAAAAAAAAAAGTCTAAGATTAGACCTATGAACGAAAAATAATGTTGTTATGGTACACTTTTAATCAATACAATGCAGGAGCGGATCCAGACCTTCGGCCCGTTCGCCACGGCGCAGGTCAGGGTGAAAGATAAAAATGATATTAAAAAAAATATATAAAATGATTGCAGTGCCTGGTGGTCTGGCAAATTCTAACTGTTTCTGTCAGAAATGCCACCTACCTCAACCAAAGACAAAAATATAGACAAAAAATGCATTGCATTGTCTGACTGTTAATTAAAAGGGACTGTAATTAAATCGGCTGCGCGATGTACTGTTGAGTTTTTAAATTAATTTTATTTTGATTTATATGTCACGATGTATGGTTATTTAAAAAAAAAGAATTACAATGAGAATATACACGTTCGTTGATTCTTATAACCTTATTGGCATATATAATTTTATTATATTTTGTTATTTTAAAATCACAAGAGACAACTATGCATATTTAATTAATTACATGGTGGAAGTAAAATCACACCAATCAAGTTTGGTTTTGGTCAGAGTACAGTTGTTGGAAGAATTGCGTTATTCTGCTTCCTTTAAGAATAAGTTATATTATGACCAAGTTGTTATTATAATATGAATTTTAAACTGTAATATTATTAAACAAGACCAATCAACACATACACATAAAACATGTACATATCAATGTTTAAACTTTCCTCTTGGAATTTGGATCTAACTAGACTGGGTTCCAGTGCCTAATCTTTGTCTTAATCAGTTAAAATGCTTAAGAATAAATCGATTTTGGCACCAATCAATCAATCAATCAATTTAATGGATATCACTTTCGTAACAGTGGCACACGTTGGACAATACCCAACGGTGCATCCAAATATAAGAGAAAAATAATAAACTTAAACTAGGAGTAAATTAAGCTAAAATGTATATACAAAGTAAAATTTATCAACATGGCATTTTCTATATTACTAATAAAAAATCAATAAATTAGAGACTTGTGGCAAGTCTAGGATCTAACATGTGTATGTAAATTCTCTGTACTGTAAACATTTACAGAGTGGACTTCCTTTGTTGTGGTCATATCAGACTGTAAAATTATTATTAAACGTCCATTCAACAAACACCATAAAACATATACAAATTATTAGGTTAAAGTTCTCACGTCGATGCACATGCATAAAACGTAATTTCCTAAAATTTGGATATCTGAGATAAGAGTGAACTTCCTTATGATATAAGAAAATATGCATGTAAATTGAGCTACAAGTTTACAAGTTAAAAGAGAGGACTCTAGTATTGTAATTGTGATTGTTACCATCAGTAAAATGTTTTAGATTGTTCATCATTCGGTACATAAAAATACCAATTTGATAACTGTGAATTTCCTTGAGTAAATTATATTTGTGGAAGAGAGGATCCGTTGGGGCACCATACTCAGACCACGTTATGGCACGAATTGCTTTTTTTCTGAAGTTTAATAATCTTACTAACATAATCAGGAAAAGTGTTGAACCAGATAATATTACAATAGCTGATAAGAGGTTGAACAAGGGATTTATAAATGGTGAATTTAATGTAAGTTAGTGGCGTAGTTTTAAAAATAGGCTAACATATTTCGATAATTTGGAACCTATTAAATCAACATGTGACTTAAAAGATTTCTTTAGTGGGCCAAGTCTGTGACTTCTATCAATGTCTTTAGGAAAGGACATTGACTGCTAGTTTATTAGAGATTAAGTTGATTACCTTATGATCCGTGTACCAATCAGATTGTTCGGGAACACCATATGCGATCATTTTGATCGTTAAATTTAAAGTTGAAACTGTCGATCGTAGCTTCAGTTACTAGTTCAGTAAGATCAGCAGAAAGTTGTGTTTTTATCATAGATGTTACCTTAGTAGCAATACTAGACAGCAAATCAGAATTTTCTTCAAAGTATGCTTGTATTTGTGTACGTATTATGTCTGCGTCAGCCAAGCCAGCATTCACTTCGACCGATTTGGAATTCCCGCTATGTGACTTGAGGCTATCAGGGCTGTCAGCTGACTGTACCTTCTTTCCTTTAGTCGTCTTTGGCTTGGATTTTTTTAAGCAAATGTGTGGTAAAAACGTAATAAAATCCAGATAAAATGTACCAGTATTGTACAAACGGTAACAACTACTTAAAAACCACCCCTACACGGCAGAATAATAATTAAACAGCGCAATTAATTGCATTAATAGCTTTCATGCAAAACAGGAGGTTACATGCGTCCGTTCACCATCGTGCTCAATCGGAAAATTTATATGCCAACTTTTACAAATACAGTGACAATAAAATACAACATGTGAGAAAAACAAAAACTGAAACGCTGGACAGGGATAGCTTAAGCAAAGTACATTGCTATAATTCAGAAAAGCCTGCTACCCCTTCAAAAAAAATATATATATATATTATAATAGAAAATTATAAATTAGGTCAATTTAAAATTTTATCTTATTTACAATAAACATACAAGAAAAACAGGGGAAAAAATCAGCCCAAAAAACAGGGGAAAAAAATCAAGAAAACAGATTAAGTAGAATTAAGAAGATTAGAACGTAGGGAAGACAAAAAGGATATCAGAACGAGTCAGAAATTAACTCATCCTTAAGATTATCAGGTAGAGCAGTCCATAAACGAGGAAAGATATATATTGCAGTGTTGAAGTGGGCAAGAGTACGGGAAAAGTATGTTGAAAAATAAGGATATCAGGATGTCTAGGATTAACTAAGATATGTTTGTCAATAGCAGAACATTTATAAAAGTCATAGAGGCATTTACTGACGAACGAAATTAAGAGAAAGCTTCCCCTGGACTCAATGAAATTGGTCTAGGCGAGTTTTATAAGAGACTTCTCCTTGACAAACATTTAAGATAGGCCTACGTCTTGTTGCATAACGTTGAATTCTCTTCAACTTTGTTACTTGTAGTGTAGTTTGGGGCATTTATGTCTGGATGGAATACCATAATCAAGAATCGGTAAAACAGGAGTTTCATATAGAGCAAGTAATGTGTCTTTTGAAGCTAGAGATGCAATAAAGAATATGAGACCAAGTAGTCGGTTACATTTAGAGACAGTATTCCGCACATGAGGATTCCAAGTCAGTCATCAATAGTGATTCCCAAATATATAAATTATTTCACTGTATCAAATATCTTTGCATCTATATAATAGTCACAAAGCTGTGGGCTTATTTTTCTGGTTATGTGCATGACTTTTGTTTTGTTAGTATTGAATGTCATTATGTTTGTCTTACCCCAGTCACATAGATTGTCTACATTCTCTTGTAAAATTATGTTATCGTTAGGAGTGATGACAGGTCGATAAAGTAACATGTCATCTGCATAGAGGATACAAGTGGATTTTACATTGTTTGTAGTGTCATTTACATAAAGATTGAAAGTAGCGGCCCCAGGACCCTGCCCCGGGGTACCCCAGATGTGGCTTGGTGGTGAGAAGAGAATGTGCCTTTGAATTGTACACGGCCTACGAGATGTAAGGAAAGAGGAGACCCATCTCCAAAGAGGGCCTTGAATGTTAAAATGAGTAGAAAGCTTGTTAAGCAGTAGGGAGTTTGTCAAAAGCTTTTGACATATCCAAGAATATAGCATCAATAACTGGGGGTTTCGTTTGTCCAAGATGCCTGTAATGGTGTTAGTGAGTTGGGTCATGCATGATTTTCGTTTTGTGAATCCATGTTGATTTTTGTTTTAAGAGAAAGAAATCTGAGATGTGGGAGTCAATCGGTTTTTTGACATTTTTTTCTAGAGCTTTGCAAGCAATGGATGTTAGTGCAATTGGCCGGTAGTTAGAAATGAGAGATGAGGAAACTATAGCTTTTCTGTATACATGCGAGCGCTGAATTTCTTTGTTAAGAATGAATAAGGACTTATTAAACGCCGCCTATGAATATAGAGGGCGGCAAACTGATAATCAGTAATATCATATTCACTAAGATCAAACGCCATTGCATTTATTGCGCCTGAGACAAAATTACTATATAATAAGTAGTATATAGTTGTTTGGATTGTGCCAACGGCTATAAAGGGTCTTCACAGTCCAGCACAATGGCTACTGGCCATGTTTTACATGCAGTTTCGTCAAAATATTTATAATTATAAACGTAATTACACCTTAATAATTTGTTTTAATGCGTTTTGTATCTTTAAGAATATGAACGCTTGTTTCAAGTTTTTATTTATTATTTTATTCTCCGAATCTACATCCTTTGATTGACATTTACACAAGTGGTTAAAATCAGAGCACAAAACATCCATGCGAACCAGTCACCGACAAGTTGTTGCTGCTCAGCAACAGTTATATCGAGATTCAAATCCTGCCCGAGGACGATCCGGTTATCTTCCTCCATGGCTTTATATCACGTCCACTTGACGTGAATTAATTTAAATAATCTCATTATAATGCGCCGATACTAGTGGTCCAGCTTTAAGATTGGACCAAGGAGGTAGGCCCTCTCATTATGCTTAAGGTTTACGTAAAAACAGCATTGTTCTAAATTTATAAAGATGACCGTACCAAAATTATCTAAACTTCATATTAATTGAATAGTTAAATTTCCTTTTTTTTTATAAAATAAACTTTCAGAAAGTTAATCTTAATTAGGCCTGTTTAGGCCCTTATGATATTGATAACGATCATTTTGATTTTTAATTAATTAGACCACAGACACATGGAGATATTAATAATTAAAGTATTACTGGTCATAACATTGTATGATTACAGCTAATAAGTCTTATTTTTTTAAGCCTTATTAGGACTTCGTTACCAATAGCCTACAAGCTGTAATACAGGCCTACCATAATTCGAAAGTAAAATCCATGAACGGGGGGATTTGTGACGTGCCAAACCGCTATAATCCTTATCCGGGATTCTGACCGACTTCCGCTTCAGCACGACCAACCAGGAAGTGTAAACCCCGTTGTCGTAGACTTAAATAAACAATAGGCATACAGATTTTGGTTTGCTGTGTTGGTGCGTTGGTGCAGAGTGCAGGAGGAAAAAAGTTCTGATCCACAAAAGGCACTTGTTAACAAGTATTGATTGATTGATTGATTGACAAATCTGTTTATATTCTGTAAAGAGTACGCGAGTAACCCACAAAAAAAATATTATTAACTTTCCTCAATACTACAATGACGGAAAAAACGAAAGAAAGAAAACGTAGTGTCTGCACTTGGTTGTGGCATGTATTTGATGCCTTGGACGAAAACAAGAATGGATTAGTAGACAAGCAACAGTTACGGGTAAGTTGATATTCGTAGTTCCGTAGAAAAGCAAGGAATTTGGGGAGCCCAAATGATAACACCACTTTAAAAGCCATACCAAGGTAGCATACAGTGTACTCTAGCACCTAAATAGTAGGCCTACTGTACTGTACTGCATGCATACATACAGTGTATACAAAGGAGGTTCTTGTAGTACAGTAGTACCTAATTCTTAAAAGGTGACCTTCAACGAGGGGTGTAAATATCATTACATTTTGTAAATCGCGTTTACTCCCAATACTAGACTAATGTTTTAAACATATATTTAAAATGCTGTCAAAAACTGTAAATTTGTAGTGGCAGTCAGTCTGTACTTGGGGGAGGTGCTCTAATAATGAAGTACCAAACTATTTTATACTACTGGATGAATTAGTTCACTTAAAATATTGATAAATTGTGTATTGTTTTTTTGTTCATATCTGGAGGGTCTGTTGATGCCCTGTCAAAATATAATCATGAATAAAAGTTTTGTATGTTGAGTTTCAGGTGCATTCCACTCAGCTGCTTACCACTAACATTTAGCTTTGTTATTTATACAGGGATGGTATAAAAAAGGAAAAGAAATCTTTACATGGTATATTATAAAAGGGGGGGGGGGGAAACAGTATACTCATAATAAATAAATGTTTGCTGTTTTTTTAATTTTAAATTTCAATATAAATTTATAGGATACCCTGATCTTCACAGGTGACAGATTCAGTAGCGTATCTAGGGGTGTGCATGTTCCCCCACCCTAAAAAATGTTGCATCCCCGGTTTCCCCCACCCCAATTGAAAAAATCACGCTCAAGTAGTTAAAAATCTCCTTATATGACCTAGCACCCCCACCCCCATTTAATCATCAAATCTCCCACTCCACTATGGTTCCCCAATCAATATTGTTAACTGCAATTTTACATTGTAAAAAGAAATTTTGTTTTCCTGCAGATTATCACGGCTCACATCGGCAATTCACTCGGCGTCAACAACAGCAGTTTGGTTGCAAACAAATTGGCCGAGTACTTTAAGGATTCACCTGAGTCAATCAATTTCACAGATTATTACACATTTATCTCAAATCAGAAATTTATTGAAGCCGACATGATGGACATGAAGAAAATTGAAAATGTTTGCTGGATGATATGCTCAAAAAAGTTCAATGGTCGTGAAGGAGAACGCTTCAATCTGGATGATGTCTATAAACTATGGCAAGTTTTTAATATTTTAGTGGAACCAGAAGTGCTCCCAATAAGTATTGATCGAGAGGAGTTTGAAATACTTCTGGAAAAGTTGGTGACAGCAATGGGAAAGAAGTGGAACACATCCAAGTTTGAAGTTACCTACAAAGACAAACAATATGTAAAATTCATTGAGCTTTTGAAATCGTTGGAATGTGAATATGGAATGGGCATGGATGAAATGATGCTACGCATGGCAGTGAAGGACGTTCATGATGAATGTGTTATGGAAGTGGAGAAAAAGGTCAGCAAATTAATTATATGAAGCTCTATCCAGATGTAGGCCAAATAAATTTTATCACCCTCACACGCATGTCTTTTATAGTACTGAAAAAATATATATATTTTGATTTAAAAAAAATTATATATATATATTAATTTTTTTTTATTAATTTTTTTTTTCGAAGAAATTATTGTTTTTTTAAAATTTTTTTTTAGTAAATAGTTAGTAGATATTGTTTTGTATTATCTCAATCATGTTTTATACATTGAATATCAGTGCACCAGCTAACAACCCAAGGAAGATATTTGGATTTAACAAAATAGAAAATTAAAATTAAAAGCCTCCCTCCCTCATCACTTTTGCAGCCTAGATAGGGTGATAAACTAATAATTTTTTTATAGGGCCTTATTAAATTTTTGTTGACAAAAAACTGTTCTATGCCCATATATAGTCATGATGTGCCTATATTCAATTCAGTTCAAGGATTTTATTCAGCAACAACAAAATAAATTTATATCGTAGCCAATGGCTAAATTGAGTAAAATTCAGCAAAGCTTAAAAAAATATTGGCGTGGCGCATTCCTTGCCCATTTTCATGTTACCTATTTCATGTTTTCCCGTAGTTCAATAGGCCTATCATAGGTCCTATCGTCCTAAACAAATGTTTATAAGAAATGCTTGTCTTCATTGTGTTATTTTTTCATTAACACTGTATACATTGAATTTAATTTTTCATTACACACAGGGTAATATTATATACTCTCGATTAAGTGCTGCGGTGCTTATTCGAGAGCAGCGCTTATTCAAGCATTTACAGTAATATTGCACAGGTGGGCAAAGTGTGGCCAGCGAAAATGAATTTTAAAAAACCCTATATGTGCGGCCCGCCAAAACAAATTATTTTTTGAGGCCCGACACCGATCATCTGTAAAAAATATTGTTAAAACTGAGAATGAAGCCCTCGATGTTAAATCAAAAATTCACTTTGGCCCTCCAAACAATTTTTATGCCCACCCCTGTAATATTGCAATTTGTTGTTGCAGTTTATGTATATATGTATGTACAGTATGTGTATTTTACAGTTGAATTGTGAAAAAAGTGGATTTAATTGTAATTAGGTAAAGTCAGAGGGTCCCAAGCTGGAAGAAGTTGATTCCAGGAAGTCTGAACTGGCAGGTCCAGGGGGAAGGGGTTGAAGGGAGGGACTCTTACAGATGGAGGGTCTAAACACTTCAGCCCCACCATGGTTGGGGCCAAGGTAAAAAAATGTATGATTATGGCACATGTTTTCCGGGAGACTCCAGCGAGTCACAGGAGACTTGGGACCTCTGTAAAGTAGTAACAGAATATCTTACTTTGGTACAATTCACAGCAAATCACCTGAAATTACAGATACAGATACAGATGCAGATCTTTTATTGTCATAAAAATACAAGGTACAATTATGAAATTTTCCTTCCTTATTGCAAATCTACTCCAGTATAAAAATAAATATAAATACTGTATATTAAAAAACACATACGGTAACACAGAAACACAATTCTAACTACATGAATTCTACTAACAATATACATTATCGTACTAGAAATTGCAAATTCCAAGTGAAGTGCTGCAAAGTACAACTGCATATAAATGTTCTTCGAACAAAATTATTTATGCGAGTCAAGTGAAAATAATGAATAATAAAAAAATAACAAATAATATGAGACACGACCCATTGACTATATTAGAACACTTCTCATTGGGTAACAAAGTCGTAATTTTTCATTTTTTTTCAAAAAAGTGTCTATAGTGGTGAATTATGGTTTAGGTTTTTTTTAATAAAGTTTCAAAAATTTCTATGTATGTGGAAAATGTAGTTGATTACCAAAGGTTACAATTTTTATTTTGAAGACTGCATGGTCTAGGAAGTGTACATTTTTTTATGGGGCAAGTTTCCAAGGGCGGGTTTTCTAGGGGTGAGTTGACTGCCAAAGAGTGTTGCCAAAGTGCGAGCCAGCGTGTTATTTGATCAAAAGTGCGAGACATCACACGTGTGAGCCGGCGAGCCATGACGTCACGACAATAGATATGAGACGTTAACGAGTTGTGCGAGGTATCGGCTGAGATTTGTGGAGTACAATTCAAAAAACAACTATAGGTCTAATAATGAATTATTGTGATGTTAAATAGACAATGTTAGCTATCAAGGAGCGACGTTGTTTTTCATTGGGACCTTCGTCCCTTCAAGGCTAGGCCTATACCATCCTAGCTAGTCTAGGCCTAGGCTAGCGCGACATGCGAACGTTGGTTAGTCTACAAACGTCGCCTAAAGTAATTGATTTTACCCGGCAGAACGAAAGAAGGAAACTCTGCTTTTCAGTCGTCTTAGGCCCTTATTTTTTGACAAACAATGACCTTTCAGAGGTCAAATTGCTGTCAAGAATATGAATTGGCTGCTTCGCAGCAATTATCATTAGGTAAAGTACTGTAGTACTGTCACAAAGGAACTGCCATTTCACTATTTTACTTGTTATAATTCACAGGGAATGATGAAAAAGAAAGGACACATGATAGCTTCTTGGAAGGACCGTTGGTTTGTTTTGTCGCAAGAAACACTCACTTATTACACGGACCGCTCAGAGAAGGAGGCCAAAGGTCAAATTACATTAACACCCTTTTGGAAAGTTGAGGTATGTACATGCTGGTATAGTTCTGCGATTCTTCGTCATCCAAAATTAATGTTTCTAGGCCCGTAACCAGGGAAGGGAGAGTGGTTGGGATGAGGAGATTCAAAGATCAAAGATGATTGACCTGTAGACTAATATAGCACTTTACTCCAAACCCTTTACACTACGGCATTTTGAAGTTTTGTTGTGCAGCGGTGATTTAAGTTTGCGACCGATAATGCTCGTGTCCTTGGGCAAGAGACTTTATTTACATTTGCCTCTCTCCAGCCAGCTACAGTTACCTGGTAGGAGGTGAATGATTTGGAATGAAATTGGTTAGTGCTGAAATATGTGCGCAACTATGAATTCTAACCAGGAAATGGATTTATTTTGTATCCAATGACCAGAGAAAAAAGCTCTTTGAGCTGTTTCGAAATGGATATGTGTGCAATATAATTCCTATAACATAAATTGAATGGTATTTAATAGAAATTATGGTTCAACGTTTATTTTAAAGTTTATTCAGTTCATTATAGTAACTGGAAATGTGATAACAGTGAAATGACTAAATCAATAAACTTTGAAAAGATGACTTAAAATAAAATTTCTATCAGTTTATTTCTTGTACAACTTGCAGAGTGGCGAATTCAAGATGGGGGACCCCAGCCTGCCCTAATTTTTTCAAAATTATAAAATAAATGGAGAAAAAAAAGAAATTATATAAAAAAAAAGTCTGAGAGTGTCATTTTGGCCATCTATATATATGTGTCTATATGTATATTATTGTAAACTCAATACTGTAATATATATATGTATGTATGTGTATATCTATATATATTTATATTTACTATATATATTTATATTTACATACGCATTAGATGCATAACATGTCCTCATCTGCCTTTTTACCTGGTTACACATTACTTCAAAATATATGATGTTGTAGTTTTAATTGACATAGCATTTTACATGATTTTACTCCAAGATTCATGATGTAAAGTTGTTTTTATGGGCATGGCACCTTTTCTCCTCAACTTTCTGATGTAAATTTTGTAACGGTTTGGTGATGTTGTCTTGTGTTTTCTTTAAAAAATCCAAAAAATATTTGTTAGTGTTTTATTGTTCTTTCATGTCGCATCTATTTTTAAACTTGTAAATGTCTATTTTAAAATTCTGTACAGCGCCTGTGTGTAAGGTTTAAACTAGTGATATTATCATCTACCCTTGTTGTTAGTATAGAGTGACCTTCATACCCTTTACTAGCCCTGTCCACTACCAATAGGGCCTGCTCAATATGTTAAAGTAATCATAAGGCCAGGCACACTAATTAGTCCTGACCAATCAGAGAGCCTTATTGTCTTATCTTGCCCCTTTGGCAGGGTTTTTTTTGCTTGGCATTCTTCTAATTGTACACTCTACATTCAACTCAACCCATTTTACCTGGTTACACATTACTTCAAAATATATGATGTTGTAGTTTTAATTGACATAGCATTTTACGTGATTTTACTCCAAGATTCATGATGTAAAGTTGTTTTTATGGGCATGGCACCTTTTCTCCTCAACTTTCTGATGTAAATTTTGTAACGGTTTGGTGATGTTGTCTTGTGTTTTCTTTAAAAAATCCAAAAAATATTTGTTAGTGTTTTATTGTTCTTTCATGTCGCGTCTATTTTTAATCTCGTAAATGTCTATTTTAAAATTCTGTACAGCGCCTGTGAACCTTTTTAATGGATATTTTTTGTGCTTTATTAAATAAAGTTATAAAGCTATTATTATTATTATTATCTAGAGGTGCCATAATCATAAATTTTCTTACCTTAGCCCACACCATTGTTGGACTAAAGCTGGTTTTCCACTAGACGAATTTATTCGCGCGAATCAAAATGTTGGTTCACTTCCCGAGTTCTGATTGGTTGCGCATTTTTTCGCTAGCAAAAACTCTGATAGAAATGTGAATGCGCCGCCGCTTTCCATTTGCGCGAATAAATTTGCCAAGTGGAAAACAGGCTGTAGGTGGTTGAGAGCCTCCTTTAGTCCCTCCTTGGGCCAATGCTACTGCTACTGCTACTACTACTACTACTACTACTACTACTGCTACTGCTACTGCTGCTGCTACTACTACTGCTACTGCTACTGCTGTACTACTACTACTACTACTACTGTACTACTACTACTACTACTACTACTACTGGGTCTGCTATTGGAAATACTCTAATAGATACCAAAAAAAATCCCTGATGATGACATAATTAATGTCGAAATATTTAATCCTGACAGGATGGCATGTATTTGGAAACTTGGAGTATGTATTACATTACCTTATCTGTTAATTCTCTGTAAACAATAAAATGCTTTAATGAGCTTTATAGTTCCTTTAAGAAAATAAATGAAACAAAATATAGTATATCTGTACTGTACGTGCAAGAGAAACTATTTGGGAAATGTATAACATATTTTTACATGCTCTATGAAATTCTCATACTACTGTATGCTCACACAGGCCATAGAAAGCCATTAGATACTTTCATAATACTATCATAATGCTGTGATTGTGTTGTTATATTCTATTTTATTATGGTGGTAAATAGTTTCCCAGTACTATTAAATTTACAGTACCTGCAAAATGTGTAGTGTTGGATGAGTCCATTGTGACTAATAGGGTCATAATTGTTTAACATGCATAAGGAATATCATAACATAATAAAAAGAATGGCTTACAATAATCACGGCTCATAAAAATATTTTAAAGTATATAAAATTACAGGTATAACTAAGTTTATGGTTTTAATGAACATTCACAACTCCTTTATAACATATTAATTAGGCCTATTTACAAAAAAAAAAATCTAACAGTGCGTGGGAGCATAGAGATAGAGTTAAAGATGACCAATGCCATAAAAGTATAGTATTGTTTAAATGTAATTATTATTTAAATTTTTACAGTATGTTCAGTTCTCGGAAACTGATTTATAATAATGTAATGCCATAGATAACTTGAAAACTCAATAATTGGTACGATGGTGCCAGGGTTTAGTGGAGTTGAGATCTGGGGTTAACACGTATTTATGTTTTTCGTGAACAAATGGATCATGTGTTCACCATTTGTAAAGTGTTTCAGGTTGAAGGATTTGAATACAATAGTAGTACACAAGGAATGCATTGCAATAGGCATTGATGTAATGAAGAATCCAAGAGACAATCAAGTTTAAAGAGGAGGTTATCCGTTACGTCCTTGGTATTATCATGCCTCCATGGGATTAATATTAAGGAGTAATAAGTGTATCCATGGTTACCATACTCCATGTTATTAGTACTTGAGTACTGTAGTACAGCACTGTATCATGTATTTTGCTGAGCACAACATATTGTACTACTGGTAGGCAGTATTTTGTACAGTACTGGACAGTTTATTCTTACAGCCTTCAGAGTGTTTGATAAAACACTGTTACCCTTAAATGTGGCAAAGACAAGCCAAACCAGTCTCTCGTCGCAAAAATCGATTTTGAGTTATTAATACAGTGTTAGAGAGTAAAATAATAGCTATAAAATGGTAAAAAATCATTCAAATCAGACATTTCCTTATGAAGTTACAAGCGTTTAACCATACAGCTGTTTAAAGAACAATATCTGAGAAATTAGTCGTCAAAATTTATGATTTCAGGTTTTTCTCATGCAGAAACTATCTTTAAATCCTTAAAAGTATTGTTTTAACATTGAAAATGGGGAAAATAACAGCATAGAATGATGTGTAGATATATAAAGGTTAGTTTAGTGCAATAAAATAGATTTTTAAAATTTTGACATTCCAGCATGTTTTGGCCATTTTCTCTGAAACACGATTTGCGACGAGTGACTGGTTTGGCTTGTCTTTGCCACAAATAAGGATCAACAAACTCAAGTTGGAGCGAATGGAAAATGGCAAAGACAAGCCAAACCAGTCTCTCGTCGCAAAAATCGATTTTGAGTTATTAATACAGTGTTAGAGAGTAAAATAATAGCTATAAAATGGTAAAAAAATCATTCAAATCGGACATTTCCTTATGAAGTTACAAGCGTTTAACCATACAGCTGTTTAAAGAACAATATATGAGAAATTAGTCGTCAAAATTTATGATTTCAGGCATTTCTCATGCAGAAACTATCTTTAAATCCTTAAAAGTATTGAAAATGGGGAAAATAACAGCATAGAATGATGTGTAGATATATAAAGGTTAGTTTAGTGCAATAAAATAGATTTTTAAAATTTTGACATTCCAGCATGTTTTGGCCATTTTCTCTGAAAAACGATTTGCGACGAGTGACTGGTTTGGCTTGTCTTTGCCACAAATAAGGATCAACAAACTCAAGTTGGAGCGAATGGAAAATTATTTCTTAATCTGTCCAATTACTTACAATATCATTTACTCACCAATTTATCAAAATGTTTATGAACCACATACCACCATGTAAATGAATATTTAAAAACCACAATATATTTATTAAATTGTAAATAGGAAAATATAATTGAAATTAAAAATAATAACCCAATATATTGAAACAATAATGCTAGTGAGTTTTATAGTTCCTTATAATAAATGAAATGATGTAGAGCTATACCTGTACTAGTAGTGTATGTGAAAGAGAATATACTTTATATTTTTGGGAAATGTATAACATGTTTTTACATGTTCTATTAATAAATTCCCACACTATTACACACTCACAGATGACATAGAAAGCAGTAAGTTAATTACACAGGGGCATGGGGGAAACATGCCCCCTGATTTTGCCACTGAAATAAACAAAAGTACAGAATGGTGTACAAAGATGAAATGTTACAATTTGTCACAACCAAGACAAGCCAAACCAGTCACCAGATAAATGGCTAAAAACATGCTGGAATGTCAATTAAAAAAAAAAATCTATTTTATTGCACTAAACAAACCTATCTATACATCATGTTGTTATTTTCCACATTTTCAATGTTAAAACAATAATTTTTAATGATTTGGTTATGTTGCTGCCTGAGAAATGTCCAAAATCGTAAACTTTGAAGGCTGATTTCTCAAATATTGTTCTTCAAACGGCTGTACTGTATGTTTAAACTCCAGTAACTTCAGTTTACTGTTTGACCATGATGGATTGACCCTGTATTAATAACTGGAAATAGATTTTGGCGAGGAGTGACTGGCTTGGCTTGTTTTTGCCACATATACTGAACACAAATCATACAATTATTGAATACATATTTATTTATTTACATCTAGGCCTACAGTATATGAAATTAGTTCCCTTCATTAAACAAATTCTACATGCGTAAGTAAGAGTACTTTCCAGGGAGGGGAGGAAGTTTCACAATTGTATAACTGATTCTGTATCCAATGACATGGAAAAAAGAAGCTTACAGCAGTACTTTCTCAAATGGATGTACCCTATATACATCCTATGTATTAAGTAAATCAGACATTTCTCCAAATAATAGGTACAGGATGACACTACAGTGTTTAGTAGTATCACGCAGGCACCTTGTAAAGAAGGTAAACAGGACTATTAGTTTGCATTAAAAGTATGAGTACCCAACCCAGGACCCTCGATAAAGTAATTATTTACACATGCCAATTTGTTTGATGCTTGTGATGTGCTTCAGTGAGCACATTAACGAACGCCATATGTGTGTACTTCCTCTTTTGAGATACACAATTAGAAACGTAATAAAAATCCAGGATTTTATAATGTTTTAATAGCTCAGGTGTGTTTACTCACAGAGTTGCTATAACAACTCCCTAGTTTACTATAGATAATGATATAAAGGCATCATTTTAATTATCTATTGTGTGTTTTAACTAATTGTTCAGCAAAGGTTTACAAAGCTTTTTCCTTTTTACTAGAGTGAATAGATAAAATTGTAATTTATTTTCTAGAAAAAAATATTACAAAAAAAAATGTTTTATTAGGAATATGTTTTGTTAAAAACTTTCTTTAATATACAAAACCACCTCTAATTAAAAACCACTTTTGGCCCTGGATAAATGCCTATCATTTATTTTTATGGTACTATAAAAACTAAAGACCATGAAAACTCTGGTCTTCCAATTAGACCTTTCATAAAAGGGACTTGCATTCAGTCAAGATAATGCAGGGCAAACTCCATGATGTGAGTTAGCATACTACTGTATATCAATTATGAACGCTCCAAATACAACAAGGCGATATATACTACTTAAGTACCTCCTCAGATCAGCTGTATAGCATCTCTTTGATCTTCTTACAACTAAAAAAAAATTATAATAATAATGAAAAATTACAATATAAAAGCCATGTAAGAAAATTTTAAAAGTTGATGGAAGGGTATTTTTGTTACTGGTATTGTGTGGTCTGTATTGAAAATAATTATATCCTTCTCAAAAGGAAGTAGCTAATCACCTCACGGTTTACTACTAGTTATACGGGTGAAGCAGTTTACTTTTCATTCCTTGTACAATTGGAGGGCTAAAGTTCACATTTGTTTTCATTGTACAAATACAATACCTGTACATGCAACACTGCATACAGTTCTTGATTTGTAATGTTTCAATTTATGATTTTCTTTCTTTTACTATATATTTCCATTTGATGAACAAAAAACAGTACTGTACAACAGTAATAGGTTAATATAGTTAAACTTGCCTTAGTCGACTTTGCCCAAGTCAAATAATTTCTAAGCTGATCTTATTTTACATGCCATATTGTTGTGTTTTCCATTATTTAACAATCTGTAAGTCAAATTTTACCCAAGTCGAACAATATTTCAATGGCATTTTGGATTCAACTTAGGCAAGTTCCACTGTAACAAGAATGCAGTCTCTAATTCTAGTTTCTATTTCATTGATTTTTTAAGTTTTTATCTTGTTTGCTACATTTTATTTCTATAGCTTTACATGCAATAAATAGGACTGTCCTCTTGACATATTCATTACATTTTTTAAATTTTAAATCATTTCAGTTAATAAATGATGGCAAATACAAGAATATGTTTGTAATATACAAGGAGGGGAAATCAACGAATGAAAAGTCACGATATGAAATGAGCGTCAGTGATTTACGTACCAGACAAGAGTGGATTACAGGTAAAGGATTAACAAAACTAATAAAAGTCAATCCAGGCTAAAAATAGTTTTGTTTTGCTTTCAGTTGATAAATTACAATTAGACAACAACACTTTGTCCTATAAATTTTATTACAATACAAACTTTCTAATTAATTCATGAACATTCCAGTAAAATTGACACTTTCCTATTAATTATTGAACATTCCTAAAAATTGGAACATTTAAAATGATAATTATGATAAATACTTGGAAGTTATGTATTTGAGTTAAGGCAAAATAAATGAAATTAGATAAATACTAACAAAGTTCACTTTTTAATTATAGCATTGACGTTAGTTTTGAGACGCTTACAAAATGAGGAAAGTTCAATGGTTCTAAAAGGTGCCAAGGAAAGGCAAGAAGTAAGGACAAAAATAAGGAAGGAACAAGAGGAAGCGGAGGAAAAGCAACGAATGAAGGATGAAGAATTAGAATTAATGAAAAAGGTAATAAAAATTGGTTTTTTTCCCTAAAATAAAAGTGAGATTTAGTTGACTAATACTCAATTCACACAAGACAGATTGTTACTTGGTAAAGGTAGTTTATTGAAAGTAGGGGATTGAGCTGTTAGGCCATCGTACTAAGCCTAGAGTGCAATGTGTAATAGGGTGGCCAGTTCCTCTCCACGCTGCCTTTTTAACCTCTCCATTATATACCTGGTACACATGCATCATCTGCAATTAAGTCAATTAAAACAGAGAGGATACATGCTACACCACTGAAAGATAAGATGCACACTCTACGTCATACAATGGTCGTAAGACTGTCAAATCCAACCCCTCTCCCTGTGACCATTAGACGCCAGTTGCTGACTGTGATTGGCAGTCTGAATCGATCATCATCAAGAATGATCTGTTGCGCACACACTGTGACATTGCGTATCAGTTGTCTTTTCCTTGCATGGATACTACACAGTACACAAGCTAATCTCTCATACACGGATTCACATTAACATGGATGCAATGTAGAAAAAGAGGTATGCTAAATTTTCTCAAATGGACATATACAACAATTTTTCTCATGTGAACTATGTATAATTAATTGTGTCCTATTTACGTGATTTCCAGTTATAAAAAATATAGGGGGTTATCCCTTCACAACCATGGGAGTCATAAAACGTAACAGGCTTATTACAGTATAATGAGTCTTTACAGGAAGTGTAAACATTAATTTATTAATTGCACAAGAACAATGTTCAAATATTATTTACCATATCTCTGTCTGTCATTATAATTTGATTTTAAAAATGATAATGAGTATGTCTACACCATCATTATATTAATTTTCTTAAATTTTATTTTAAGTAAACCAATTTAAAACTTGTGTAAAACATTTAGCTACCATCAGACACAAGATAGACTTAATTCAACAATTTCTATTTGAATCACAACATTAGCGAGTACTAGAGAGTGAAAGGGAAGCACAAGAGGAAGCTGAGAAGAGGAGGAAAATGGAAGAAGAGGAGGCTGCAATGAGGGAGAAAATGTTAAGGGAAAAGCAGATCCTAGAGGAACAAATGTCTGCTTTACTAACAGTAAGCAATTTAAGATTCTTGTTGCAAGGACAACAAAAAAATTACACTGCATATGTGACACAGACAAGCCAAACCAGTCACTTGCAAAAAAATGATTTTTATTATTAATACAGTACAGAGTTAGGCAGTAAAGTTAATTATCCAACATTTCTTTATGAAGTACAGGAGTTTAAACATAAACAGCTGTTAAAAGAGCAGTATTTGAGAATTTAGTGTTCAAAGTTTAAAAATTCAACCATTTCTCAGGCAGAGACCATCACAAAATTGTTAAAAATGTTGTTTTAACATCATAAATGGAGAAAATAATAAATATATAAAACATAAATATAACAAAATATTAAGTCAGTAATGATAATAAAATAAGCACCTCATTAGAATTTTTTTAAGATATGTTTATTTTAATGCAATAAAATTAATTTCAAAATTTTGACATTCCAACATGTTTTGGTCAATCATTATCTCCAAAACACAAAAAGGAGTTACTGGCTTGGCTTGTCTTTGCCACATATTAACACCACATTAGTCAAATTTCCTAATGTCATTCAATAATGTTTCTTAGGGGTATTATTTTCTAATAGTGCCCTCAAAACTTTACAATAATTGCTTATTATTTTGTTAAATCCTCCTTACCTATCCAAGGAACATGAAAAAACAATGTTGCAAGCTGAAGCGGCAGCAGAAGCAAGGAGAAAAAGAGAAGAGGAAGAAGAGCAGAGACGGCAACAAGATGTAGAGGAATTGAAGAAGAGAGAAGCAGAACTGAATGACATGAAAATGGTATGGAATCAAGGTGCCAAAAAGAATTGATAATAATGATATAATAAGTTTTATGATTACAGTATTTAATAGTGTTAATACTCAGTTCCAAATCATTTGCATCCTACAATGAAATTACCTATTTATATGTAAGGTCGAGTTAATGTAGCAGTAGGGAATTAGACTTTGGTGTAAGATGAACTTTATTTGAGACTTGCCAAGGTCATACTTGTTAGGGTCTCAATTACTGTACCTCATCCTTTCAATGAAATGTTAAGCCATTGGTTCCATATGTATAATAGCACATGCACACGATAAAACAACTTGGGCACTATTCAAAAAGATTAGGGGACTACCGGCATACCAAACATTGTATGCACTTTTCTGCATCTGCCACTGTGCAGTGTCTCAGAAACTGTGTAAGTAGGTTAACAATTTAGTATACAAAATAAAATGCTTACATTACTTTATTTACCAACATTAAGGCAATAAAAGAAGCAGAAAGAAGGGCAAAAGAAGAAGCTGAGAAGAGGCAACTGAAAGAACTTGAAGAGGAGGAAAAACAAAGTATTCTAAGGGAGGAAAAAGAAAGGCAAGCACAGGAGTTAGCAAGAATCAGAATGGTAAAAAACATGTCAACATATCAAACTGTTAAAGACTCAAATTAGAACACAAAATGTTGAATGTTCAGAGTAGTGCAAAAAAACTTACAAGGGTTATTACAATATTTTAATAGGAGAGGGAAGAAGCTGAGGAGAAACTACTGCAAGAGCAAGAATTATGGAGACAGAAAGAGGAAGAAGAAGACAGAAAGACACAGGAATACCTTGAAGAATTGAAAAGAAAGGAAGAACTTTTGAGTAAAGTTCGGTTGGTAAGTTAACTGCGATATATAACTACTGTATTGTTATAATAATCTCCAATACAGTAGTAATTATGTTGGATTATTAATATGCTAGTAGGACACTCTATTCCCCAAAAAGAATAGTAATGTGTATTTAATTTGATAGAACATTGGAGTAGAGCTGTAGTTTGGTGGTTAAGATTCTGTCCAATCTCCTGTGGGACTGTTTGGATGGATTTTTTTTTTTATCCAACTCAACATGTACTTGGTCAGTTTCACCCAAAGAATTTTTAATGCAAACACCCTGAGAAGTGTCACGGTAAATTTAGCCAATGTCTGTGGTAAGATAACAAAAACAAACCATTAGATGGCAGGTCTATGAGATGTTAATTTAGAGGAATATAGCTTAAAATTAACACACTGATCTTTGTCTTAGCTACTATTTATTTGCATACTTTATTTAATATTTACAGGATATGGAAGATGCGGAGAAAAGGGCCCTGATAGAAGAACAGTTGAAGCTAGATGAACAACGACGACGAGAAGAGCTGGAGACATTAAACAAAGAGTTGGAAGAGTTACTGCAGGAGGAGAGGCAGGCAAAGAGGGATGAAGAAATAGTGCGTGCTTTACAGGCCAGGTGAGCAATTAGAATATGTAAACCCCTGTTTGCTTAGTATGCATTAGCAGCATATTAGTTATTAATGCACCTGTCAGTCATATAATGGTTTGCTAAATACAAGCCTGAATCACTTATGTTGCTTTGTCATAGTAACAGTAATAATTTTATTTTCCATTACTGCAATGTCTTATTGAAGGCCAACTTAGACAGCGTTGTAAGACACAGACAGATTTGATCGTCATGGAGAGTCTTGAAGACATCATGAGAATATAAAACATGATAAACATTCTACAATGTCAATGTCCCTGACGCAGACCTATCACGTCAGCGTTTAACTCACATGGACCCGACGAGACAACAATTTGTGTTGGACTGCATTGTACGACGCTGTCTGGGTTTGCCTTAAGATGCTTAGGGTATACAAATATTTGGATTTAGATTTTTTTAGCTGTTAAAAAGTAAAACCCAACAAGGATAACCCACAACATTTGGACAGTTAATTGGGTCGCCATCAAGAATGAAACCACCCTTTATCGGGATCTGAGTAGGACAGTAGTGCAGCTGTAATGATGATTTAACAAGTATTTGGTTCAAATTATATTATTTTCTTTTTTGTTAAGGTTACTGGAAGAGGAATCTGAGAAGCGAGAAGAACTTGAGAAATTAAAAGAACAGCAGGAGAGGATGTTACAAGAGGAGAGGGAGAGAAGAGAGAACCTTGAGCAGCGCAGTGAAGAACTAGAGACCCAGAGGTTAGAGCAAGCAAGAATCTTGGAAGAGGAGAGGACGAAACTGAATGATCTGGAGCAGAAAAGAATTGAGGCAGACAATAGACTACTGGTAAAGAAAACAGTTATATTCCTCTGTTGCTCTCTGTTAATTGTAAATCAGGGGTGGGCATAAAAATGGGTCAGAGGTTCAAAGAGAATTTTTGATTTAACACAGAGAGCCATATGAAACTTTGACATTTCCCCGAAAATCTTTCATGAACTGCTTTAGACCGCTTTAGGCTTAATTGCAATATTACTGTTTGTACAGATTATCAGTTTTTGACCATAAAAACAAGAGTTTTCTAGTCAAGATGGTAGACAAGCCACAGGGTTTTCAAGGGCTGCAACAAAAATTTCGGTCGGTCTACATGTGGCCATAGGCCATCCTTGGTCAACCTGTATTGTAAATGAACCCTTAATTATTTCATCATTACTTTTGCATGTAATGGTTAAATGTAGTTGACGTACTGACCTGCACTCAGACTAACAACAACAGACTAAAAAAATCACAATTTTCTACTAATTGTTTGACATTCACATTTTCTGATTTCAGACCTGCCAACTCACCCGATCCTGTCGGGTGTCACCCGATATTTCAACAAATCTCCAGTTCTCCCGTTCGAATGTAATTTTCACCTGATTTCACAGGCCACCCCCCCTCCCGATTTATGCTTAATTTGATTGATTTGATCGTTATTATTCAATGTATTCGCTGCCTGCTCACTTCGCGGTGCAATAAACAAGCAACCATTTTCAAGTCGAATGTCGCCACCAATGGCCAATTATTTGTAGTGACGTGACTTTTTAGGTATCCTGCATCATGTTTTGGTTAATTCTGGAAACCTTTTTTTAAGATTCTTAAAAAAATCTCCAGATTTTCATGACCCAAGGGTTGGCAGGTCTGTGATTTTATATAGCTGGATTGGAGCATTTTATTTCAATGTATTTTCCAGTAATATAATTTTAATTTGATTACCCATGCTATTACAGGATGCTATGGCTAAACTGACAGCAGCAGAAAAGGAATCGGAAGAAAAGCGACGAAAACGTGCTGAACTGAACAAGCCCATCGGCCTGGCAAGACCAATCCAACCATCAGCTAAGCCACTGACATGCCATAGGGGACCAGGTGTTTTCACTCATGGACATCTCGATGCAATTAAGGACTTATACAACAAACAAAAGGTACTATTAAACCAAAACTGTTAGTTCGGAATGGACAATAAAAATCGGAGGTATGATTATATGTTGTTCAATTTGTGCTGAAAGAAGCTGGCAGTTAGCTACAGTGCAAGAAAAAAAAACAACTAATAGTCTCCTAAAACAAAGTGGCATAGCATTAAACTTTGTTTTATTTCATTGCTTTAACAACTTTTCACTGATTTTTAGTACTGAAATGCAGTGGCGGACCATGGGGAAAATGCAGGGTATACTAGGCAGTAGTGTATCTAGGGTGTGCGAGAGGAGTGCATGCCCAACCCCCCCCCCCAAAAAAAATACTTGCCCCTCTCCAAAATCATGCTCAAGTTGTTAAAAATCACTTCAAATCAGCTTATCTTGCGAGTTAGCGCCCTCTCACCTAATCATTGATCCTCACTTCACCTTCCCGCCCCCATCAGCTATCCTTCCATCTCAAGACCCCTACGCTACTGGTGCTAGGGCCTACTATTAGGAAAATATTGTAAGCCTACTAATCGAAGATTGCGTTCTATAGTCAAAATACAAAAGTATGTCCTTTTTTATACTGGCATGGTTGTAGTTTCTTCTCTTCAAAAGAATTCCTATTCCTGTAAGTTTAACAAATTTCAATTCAAATAATAGAAGTTTCTTCTATACCAGCCATGTGTATGCAAGTTTATGTTAACTTCAATTATGAGATTATGGAATGCCTGGCAATACAAATTACCTGATCGGCAGTGGATGTCCCGGCTGATTAGGCTACTGTAGAGAGATGCAGTGAGAAGAAGAGCATGCGCACATACTCTTGGAAGCACCGCTTCTATTCCAGTGTTAAATTGGCTATTCTTGTGCCACCACACGGTTGTCACAATAGCAAATTTAAGCCTTGTAGGGTATGCTCTCACTTCCATTGACTCACTGAATACACGATTGGCTAATATTGACATAATTACCAACCGTTACAACAATTATGTGACTGTAACCCAGGCCCCATTAGGGTACCGCCCTGTACTCCAGGACCCTGGTGGCCCCGTCCCCCACCCCCAACTGGTGTAGTCACACTTTTCAAATCTCTCACGTTGGTAACAATGTACTGAAAACCAGCCATGCAGAAATTGTAAGCAGCTGAGAGAATGTGTGACTTATTCTGAGATACCAAAGTACCGGTAGGTCAAAAATAGAAAAACTTTGCTATTCCAACAAACTGTAGCAATCCACACGAAAAATTAAGGTTCGTCACTGAAGATTGTGGCTCAGAAATGCTAAATAAAACAGAGAAACTGTACTATAATTTATTAATTTCTTAGTTTTAGCCAGGGTATGCACTGCATACCTTGCTTGCCTTGACGGTCTGCCACTGCTAAAATGCATGAAACAGTAGCCATTTTGTGCTATTCTTTACATCATGTATAGTCTATAGCTTTGGTTCTCTGTGGGCGGCCCTTGGGTGAAATGTGACCAATCAGAGAATTTAACCTGGACTCTGTACAAATTACTACAGGGGATATTGGCAATACCAAGTATTGTACTAAATTATTAGCAAATGTGCTTTAAAAAGGATGCAGAAAGTGTATCAAAACAGTTATGCTCTGAATTAATGCAACAATAACACTAAAAAACAAAATACACAAAGTTTACAAAATCAAAAATGTTGATGTCTCTGTTCATGGGATATACTTGTTTGTGTCTATGTCAAGTAGTTTATAGCAGTTACTGTATATTCAAATTAGACATGGTTCTCTACATTATCATTTAATAATATTCAAAGAGTGGATTTGAATTAACTTGGTGGTTAAGATGCTTGCCTTCCAATCTCAGTGTGAAACCTCTTGCTTCAACCCCTCCAGGGTTCAATTCCCATCATGATTACAGAATTACAGAACTCCCTAAGTTCACAATGAGACTTCTTCAATGCAGAGCATCTTGTGTTTTGTAAAAAGATTGACACTTAAAAAAGAAAGATTTGCTTTGAACAAAAAACATGATTTGATAGAACCACTTTCAGCAATCTAAGTGTCATCAATAATATAAGATGCTAACCTAACCCCCAATATGGTGGGGCTAAGTAAAGTAAAGTATAGCAGTCACCCATTAACTTTACTTAACCCCATACAAGATTAGTTGAGAATCCCTGGCTGTTCTATATTTATTTTCAGATACTCCTGTAAAAAGCAATTTCTTGTTTCCATTACTTATAAATTCTGCATTTATTACTAGATGCTAATGATTAAAAGGGAACTAAAAAGATGATTTTTTTTTCTAGAGGGAATTTTTGATATGTCATTAATAATGGTCAACTTTAAAATCGTTTTTTTGGCATTTTTTTTATGAAGTTAAAGGCCATTATTGACAACCGCTGATGCATAATCCATAATCAGTACATCAACCATGGAGGAATGTGGTTTATCATGTTATTTGGGCGACCATATCATATGTTTGTTCCTGTTTTCAGATCTTAATCAATTCCAGTACTACAGTAATACTAATTTCAAATGTATATTATTTGCGGATGGTAAAAATCTAATTCAAATTGCCCAGAAAACCTTTAGAAAAATCAAGTGGTCCCTAAAATTCTTGTCCGACCGTGTAAAAAAAAAACTAGTAACAGACATTGGGCAAGTGGTTCGCTCATGCCTGATGTGGAAATCGAAGATGCACATAATTACCATTATAATTTCTAAAGTTTCAGTATTCGTGCATGCACTCTTAAATGTCTTCAAAATACAAGAAGAGTTTTCATCAATTTTAGACGTGAAAACATCTTTCTCCTACAACACAGGCATAGGACTTCATTATGCATCGGCGGTAGTCAGCAAAAGAGTTACAGCCATGGTTACAGCATGTACACAAAGATCGTACATGGCTAATACCCAACGCAGCGCTATTTACACGATCTTTGGTAACATTACATGAAACAGTGACGTAATGCCGCTAAAGGGGATAAAATCGTATATAAATGGCCTATAACTTCATAAAAACTTGCCAAAAAACAATTTTAAAGTTGGCTCTATTATAAATGGCATATCAAAAATACCCTGCAGAAAAAAAAATCATCTTTCTAGATCCCTTTCAATATCAACAAAAAAATACTAGAATAGAAATATATTATTCTTCTGTATACTATATTTAAATTAATATATATATTATTCTTCTATATACTATATTTAAATTAATATATATTATTCTTCTATATACTATATTTAAATTAATATATATTATTCTTCTATATACTATATTTAAATTAATATATATTATTCTTCTATATACTATATTTAAATTATACAATACAGAGAACATTCCATTTTTTTCATTCTTATAACTCTATATTAAATTAATTTTAAATTTATGCTTTATTGTATACATTTTGCTAAGGCCTCTCATTTTTTAACAAGCTCCTTAGGGCTTCATTAGGGTTCCTTTTTGTCTCATGTTTCAATTTCTTGTCTTTTTTTTTGTTTTTTTTTTGCAAACAAGTCACTCATCGCAAAAATCAATTTTTTAGTTATTAAAACAGTAAAATGGGAGCTATAAAATGGTAAAAGAATCATTTAAATCCGACATTTCGTTATGAAGTTATGGAGTTTAAACATACAGCTGTTTTAAAGAGCAATATCTGAGAAATCAGCCTTTAATGTTTAGGATTTCAGGCTTTCCTCGTGCAGAAACCATAATACCTAACCATCTGCAAAACAACAAATCATGATATAGATATATAAAGGTCAGTTTAGTGAAATAAAATAGATTTCAAACATTTTGGCATCCCAGAATGTTTTGGTCATTATTTCTAAAACAGGATTTGCGACAAGTGACTGGTTTGACTTGTCTTTGCCACATATGTAGAAAATAAAATTGACTTGATGTGGTTATATTTGAAAGAAAACTTGTCAACACTTTCTAATGTTTCTTTTTTTTCTTAGGTGGATGAGACAAGTGAGACAAGCCAGAATATAAACGTTACAAATGGATACACCAAAGAAAGCAACTTGGACTTCGTAGAAAAAGAATTCAATCTCTCAGTCAATAATATTAAGTCAGAATCCACGGAAAAAGAGGACAAATGAAAAAATTCAAAAGCACCCTTTCAATATTTAATGTTAACGGTTTGTCAAGAATTTGTTCACAGTGAACTCTTTAATGTTACATGAAACATGAAATTGGCAAGAGAGCAGTATTCAACCAGTCAGAATTGAAAGCCATCCATACAGTAATTCAATATGAAAACATAACATTCAATAAGATTGAGAGTGAAATATCAATATTGTGAAATACCAGTTTATCTTGAAAATAAATGAAATATGTAATTAAATTTGTATTGAAATACAAGCTGCATAATACCAAAGAGTACAGAATTGCAGGAGGTCCGACTGCCCTGATTTTGTATGCACACAAAGGAACATTTAAAAAAAAGTATTACCACAAGTTAGGGGGCGCCCTATTAAAATTTAAATAGAGTTTGAAACTCGACTTTAAAAGGATGCCCTTTAGTTCGTGGTAGTAGTTTTTGAAATAGGATTGTTTCAACGAAACCCTGAAAGTCGGAACTCTTGCAGTTTTATACTCTTTGATAATACTGTAATAATAAAAGTGATGATGTCTTAACTTCATGAATGTTAATACATGAATAATAATAATAATAATACATGATTGTCACTAAATATGAATACTAATTTCATACAATTAGATTTATAAAGTTGTATTTATATGCATATCCTTAATATTTATCAATTACTTTGTGAGATGCAAGAAACATGTTTCACTGCAGTTACGTTGCAACCAAGTTACAGAGAAATTAAATAGTTACTAACTATCAAGCATTAAACATTCCAATCAAATCGTATAAAGTAGGTTAAGTCGAAGGGAATTGTTTTCAAAATGATAATACTACCATTTCTAACATATGCAATTTCATAATTCATAATATGTTTTAACGTAAAAATGGTGTTATTGGTGTTAATTATTAATTATTGACTGTCAGTGATTTTTAAAGTATTCATGTTAGCAATTACCATCCATATTTGTAGGATAAATATATAAATTGATACATTTTGTTAATATTCTGTGGTTCTGGTTCTTTATCTTAAGGTATGGGTCCTTTCTGTCCACCCAGGAGCATAAATGGGCATTCTCGAATTGGAATACTCCCAATGGAGTAGAGGAAGTTGGACACAGTGTGATAATACAGTATTACAAGTGCTTGGATTTTGGGGATAGGTTTGAAAATATTCACCTCTTTTGACATACAAAATTGCAGATTCCGACAATGTAGCCAAATTCCTGACATCAGAATACTTGCTCCATCCATACCATCTATCCAAACAGACCACCATGTGTTTAGATTGTCATTTAAGTAACTTTGTTTTATTTGGATTTGAATACATGTGTTTGTCAAGACCTTTGAGATAGTAAAATTGTTCATAATGTATTCACATGTCTTTGCCTTCTTTACCTGGTAATATTATGCTCACTGAGTGCTACATACATTCTCATGTGTTTCTGCACACCTGGATATATTAGCATAAATGTACACCTGGTCCCATTGCTTTTGCACCTAAAAAAAATTAGTTCAGTATACTAAAATTCAAGTACCGAGTCTTGTATGGAATAGAAAAGGTTCAGGAATAACATTAATTAATCACGCACAAGTAAAAATAAATATCTAAATACAATTGTAAACAAAACAATAGTGGAGATTAGTTACCAAAAACTAAGCAACAGAAATACCATGGTCTTAAAAAGTTTCAATATGAAAGATTGCATTTTCAATTCCAATGAAAATAGAAACTAATTCATTTTCAGTGATTATTATCCCTCCGCAGACTCCATAGCGGGGAGATTCTTGCACATCATCTGCTACAAATATAAGTATTGGAATTTTACAGTGCATAAACAGTATTACATTTTCAAACCAATCTACTTGAAATACTTGGCACCACTGTACATGGACATCTTAGCATGAAGCAGACCCCAAGAATGTTCCCAGCAAGGGTGGTGCCAATAGAGAGTGCTCTTTCCTAATTTGATGTGTCCATAGTGAATACATATCAATAATATTTACTCCAAAATAAATAAGTTGTAACATCACATTAAATTAAGTTCCATAAATATTATTAAAATCATTGTTCATTTTCTTTTTGTCAGAACATAAGCAAATGTGTCTTATTTCTATGTTAGATTGAAAGACTACTGACTTACCAAGCATACTACTAACAAACGATGCATACGTTGCGTTCCCTGTGACTACTCCTAATTTTGAGGGGTTTTTTCGCTTTGTTGACACATTGAATACATGCCCAGTGGCAACATCTCCAGGTCCTGTTACCTCAACTTCAACTATATGCCAATCTGTCATCCTGTGTAAAGAAATATACACAATAATAGAGATGATAATGATATAATAATAATAATCAATAATAGAGCTAACTTAAATAATAGATCATAGTAGACATAATAGAAATAATAATATATGTAATATACAAAAATAACAAGAAGAAAATCAAAATACATTGAAACAGTCAATATTTATTTAGATATGGATTCAAGATAACCTATAATTAAACAAAAAAACAAAAACAGGAAGTTACATTGAAAGTAACATACCTTGAGTCTGCCACCAGGCACCCTTGAACTTTATCAAAACCCAAATTATGAGCAGCAATGGAGGCAGCAGCCATTGTATTCACATTATTTGGAGCAAGAGGGCAAAGGTCACGAACAGGACCTACAAATGAAAGAAAAGAGTAAGAGAAAAATTGACCACAAGTATGTGTGGAGCTGTAGATGGTTAAGACTCGGGTATTAATTTACAGTAAATCACATATTTTCAATCCTGTAGCTGGCACACTAAAGGGCAAACAAAACTTTCACATGGTTGTCACTGCATACCCTTTTAGAGTAAATAAACGATAAAACAATTAAACTTAACAATAATAAACTATAAAATCAAAGAATTTGTCATTATTGTTTGTTAATAATGAAATATATTTTTTACTTGTGTACTCACCATCATATAATGTAACTATCTCCCCTTCTTTCACTTTTGCATTCTTTTCTTTTAATTCACCATTCAATTTGAAACATGTTGGGTGCTTGGTCATTGTTACTTTTAATGCCTAAATAGAACAAAATACATTCATTATTCTTATTTAATCAGATATTACTAAAATATCAAGGTAGTAAAATATAATAAGTTAGGTTAAAAAGGAAAGAATATATTGTAAAACCAATAAATGTATCATCATTGAGTTTAGAAAAGCATCATAGACCTTGCGTGGCAAGCCCATCGATTAGGCGAGTTTGCACGCCGGCCGGACCGCTTCCAGCCCGCCGGCCAGAATTTGACACACCTCCTACTCTGGCCTGTGGTCGGTCAATTCGAGTCGGCTTTGCCTAGTCAAATGAGGCCTAGCATCATTTAAACATTCTAAAATCTGCATTACTTCCAATAAGCACCAACTTCGAGGAGGACCGAGACACATGTAACATTGTCAATTTTAAGTTTAGTAGTTTTGAGTTATGCGCTGAAGGACACACGCCACACAAATATAAGATAAGGTATAAGGTAAAACATAGAAATTACGAAGCTCGCAAAAAAGTACATATTAAAGAAAAACCACATTAAAATTTCATAAAAAGCCATTGACAAAAGCAAATGAAAATATCTAAAATTATAAAAGTGCACAGATGCATACTATTGCAATAAACTTCACCTAGAGTAAAAATTAAAAACATATACCAGTATTACTTACGTGTAATGTTCCTCTGTCTGCCATCTTCTTGATGTCATTTCCACCCCAGAATGCACCATTTGGAATGTAAAGGCCATTGTGAATGGCTGCAGCTCTCAGCTTATTTTCTACTTCTTGATTGGCTAATGCTGTTGGTGAGCCAATCTGTATAGATATTACAAATCCAAATACGTAATCATCCAGTATAGCTGCCTCCATATTTATGACATATATTCTGGCAGATAAATACAGTGAGTACAGCAGAAATTTTCAAAAAACCCCAGTAAATTTAACTGCATCGTATGAGAATCCTTGAGAAAATCCAACCAGATTACTAACTCAGAAAAAACAAAAGCACTCAGCATAATACCAACACAAGACTTACAAGCTAAGATTGGTTGTTCACAGCACTTTGAACAACCAATCTTAGCAATGTAACAAAGATGTACGCTATTCGACACCCATCTAAATGATCAGAGGATACATAGAGACTGTGTTCTATGAAGAAATACTTGGCCAAAAAACACATGTCTGCACTGTTTGGAGTGTTGTACTTGCAGTGCTACCACTTCTTATGTTAGAATATTTAGCATACTAATTACCATATAGTCAGCTACTCTCAAAAAAGCCTCTCCATATTGGGTTGTTATGGTAGGATGAGCAACTTCAACAATAAGGTCTGACTTTCTATGATAGTGAGAAAATAATATAAGGAAATCAAACATTCAATTCAACTAATGTTTACTAATTGTAGTGTTAGTAAAGTGAAAAATATTTTGAAATTATGACAACTTAAAAAATATGGAGATTATCAAGGGGGCGGGCCCCCTGACAGGGGGGGCCAGCTCTCCCCGACAAGGGGAAGCACAATTCTTCGGGGAGAAGAATGTATTTTCTACATATTAGTAGACACTAAAATCGATTAAATAAGCCTTTGAAACCCCTAAATTGTCTAAGTTTTCGGGGGCTTCGCCCCCTGGACCACTTTCAAAACCTTTAATCGAAGCTCGACCACGTACACTTTGCTTTTGTCTGGGAAATCTGACCCTCGTCGGGGCATCGGGCCTCCGTCGGGGACCTCGCCCCCCACCCCCCCGTTGGGCAAATCCTGGCGCCACCCCTGATGATGCTTTGGCTCGGCTTGAGCTTCCTTTGGGGTTGCAATCACATTTGGCAATTTCTGCAGCTAAAGGCACACAGAAAAAATTGTTAGATTATACCTTTGGCCCGCGTCAAAAATCCGGGAAATATTGATGCGGAAATAAAAAAAAGATTGTTTTGCTGCATCATTTATTTAAACAGAATAAAATAGCAACGTAATTTTGTGAGTGGAAATACATTTTCTTAAAAAAAACAATAAAATAAAACCAGTTTTTATCATAAATATTTACAATATTCTTGCCAAATGAAAATAGTCCCTCCGTCATCGATTAAAAAAAAGCAATATGCTATTGTACAGATAAAAAAACAAAAAAACACAAAATAAAAAAAACCGTCCACCCTCATTACTTTTTTTTAAGAGTGATAATCTAATAATTTTTTCTATGTGCCCTAACTTGGTGTTGGTTTGAAGATTCACTTACAGGATACAATTTATTGTAATTTTGTTATTGTATGCAAGCATTATATTTTTTTATACCTGAATAAAAAGTCATATATGAAAATACATGAAATTTATTTGTCCTGAGGTTATTATACACAAGTACATTAATACACATCATAGCATCATATAATAAGAATACACAAAACCTGATAAAAATATAAAATATGTATGCATTTATTTTTTCATACTTTATGTATTCTTATTAAAAGTACATTCACATTATAAGAATACATAAAATAGAAAATTACAAACATATAATACTAATGATAGCACCAGAACAACAGCAACAGTTTCAAAATAAAATTAATATAATGACAGATAATTTGAAAATGTATCTTGACACTGGTTAGTTTGTCAAAATGTGTTTATACTATATAAATGTTTGTGAAATATAGGCCTATACTTTTTTTTTTATAGTTTACATCTGTTTAACAAACTTCATGCTTGGCATACCTTTCCTCAAATTTGGACAAGTCTTGTAAAATCAAAGAATCGTCTACTTTGCCCATCATATTCTCTGCTGTCCTATTCCACACAAATGCCAACTCCAATTGATCACTCTCTTGAACAGCATTTACCAAGTACTGACCTGAAAGTTAAGATTATCATCTAGTTAGGCCTAGGCTAATGTATTGAGATATTTTACCTTATTAAAGCCTTAGGTGCTAGTATTTTTAAATAAATGTTCACAATTTATTATGTATTCTTATTATTAATTATTGTGTACTTATTGTTGTTACATTATTAGGCAGCCATAGATATTTCCACTTTTTAACCTATTTTAACGGTAGAAACTTATATGAGGTAGTAACCTGATCAGCTAAACAATACAGCTAGGCCTACGCATACGGGCTAACCCACGCCTCGTCAAACCGACCGCTAGAGACCCACCCAGAGCGCGACTAAACTGGCTTGCTTAACCTGACTTCTCTACAATTTCTGGCGGCCTATCCTAAAAAGGGGGTTAAAATAATTGATTTTTACCTAGGTGACCATACCCAACGATTCCCACCCGACGAACAATCTTTTGTTTCTTCAAATCGCTTGCCATTTAAAAAAAATAATATTATAAGGAAATGCGCCAATGTTGAAATGCTACAGACTTTCAATGTTGTTGTTTTTTTTTCAACATGTGCAATTTAGCAGACTGTCTTGTACAACATACTTATATTATACTCGCATTTACTTTACATATTTAACATTTTATTATTAAATATAAATGTTTAAAAAATGTTTTGTTTACCATAATTAGTTTTATCATTATATATAATCAATAATTTATTATTATTATTATTGATAACAAATTATAAAATATATACTTACGTTTTGTGTTAGCAGACATGCGTAGCTTCGTTACTATGCGACGAGCATAATAACTTCATAGAGAGTGTTTTGTAGAGAAGAACTCAACTTGTTTTTTAAAGGGGTAAATTAATACAGTTATTAATTAGGACCTACAGACTAAGAACATTAGTCAGCGTAGTTTCTGTTTTAGTTTTAAGGTAGGTTATCTTTTGTAAACAACAAAATCCAACAACAACGGCCTAGGCTAGGCCTACCTAGACTAGCCTAGGCCCCCATAACATTATGTAGACGCGGAGGAGGACAGCACCCTCTACCGGCCTCAGCTCAAGTCTAGCCTTAATAAGCTAGCCTAGTAGTAGGCCTATGCGCCTAGTGGCTGCTAAAATAATAATCATGGGACTAGGCCTACTGTAGGTAAGGCTGGCCTTAGTGATACGTCCTACCATCCATCCACACTAAATGAAGATGATACTAACTATAGTAGGGCCTGTGTCTGTGGTGGGCATAAATATGCAAGCAACTAATATCATGAAAATTTAATTTTTACAGTGTGCTTAAAAATACCTTTAAATTAATCGCAGCTGTTAGGCCTGTGACCGTTTTGTGCATGCTAGGTTTTAATGTTACTTTTTTCAGTTTGTAGCCAAAGTCGTCAGGCAGAGTTTTAATTCATTTTTTTTTTTTCATTTCATTAAGTTCAATTGATTCTTGTCCTGTGTAGTCAGAATGGCTCCTAAAAAGAAAAAAAAGTCTGGGAAAGGAAAGCTAGCGAAGATGACAGAAGAAGAAAGGATCATATACATGGAACAGAAGTTGCTTGCTGAAGAAGAAATGAAGAAGAAAAAGGAGGATATGCTGAACCAGTTTTTAAAGGTACTTAACTAAATGAAAATAGGTCCATTAGCATGGCCTAGACAAGATTACTTTTGTTCTAAAAATTTAATATTGAATTAGATTAAACCAAAGAGTATAGAACTGCAAGAGGTCCGACTGCCCTTATTTTTTATGCAGGCAATGGAACGTAAAAAGTACTCCCACAAAGGGGCGTGTCCCTCAAAAGAACGTAAAAGGCGTTCGTATCGAACACATGCTGCGTTTCAAAACTCTAGAATACATTCTAGAGTTTGCATGCATGCGTTCGATATGGATGCCTGTTACGTTCTTTTGAAGGGCACACCCCATCGTGAGAGTACTTTTTGAGGTAGGATTGTGTTTCAGCGAAACCACGGCAGTCGGACCTCTTGAAGTTCTATACTCTTTGATTAAACTCACAAATTGAACCAAAAAAGGATTAGTAAAATATGTTTGCTAAACACTTGTTTTCTTTCTGTTCTCATTTACTTCAGGATAAGCTTGTGAAAGAAGAACGAAGTGCACATTTTAACCTCTTCAAGTTAACCCACCAATGGCGAAACATCATGAGAACATCCAAGTCAAAAGAATTGAAAAAAGATATAGAAATCTTGAGCCAGACGTTTGAAAGAGTTGTTGACCGCAAAGACAGCGTTATCAAGTCGTTGGTCAAGGATCTCGGAGAGGCAGAAGAACAGTACTCAATGGCACTGAGGAGTCACCTGCAGAACATGGATAACTTAATAGGTAAATATTCAAGTAAACTACAAGAAGTTTGAATATTAAATAAGCTTTGTAAGTTATTAATCATCATCCCGTGAACCACCAAAGTACTCCCTTCAGGGAAGCTTTGTAAGCTGCACTGCTGAAAGAATATATAAATATCAGCTATCAGCGACACATGCTACATCACACTGTTTAATAAACCTGAAACTTCATTCCTCAGATCTTCAGCGATGTCGTTTGAAGGTGTTACTAAGTGAATATGAAGAAGAACTTGAAGTACTGAAGAAAGAGTTTGACACAGAGCGACATATGATCATAGACCAACACAAACAGGAGATGAATGACCTGCAGGACATTCTGTTTGCCATGGAACAAAATGCGAATGAACGAGAAGCAGAGGCCAGGCAAGACTTCCAGAGTCTCAGGGATGAGATCAAAAATAAGGTATGCATAGGGTGTTAAGATTCCAGGTATTTAATAAAGTACATAGTGTATACAGCGTGCTGTTATATTGGAGTGATACTCTAGGAATTATTATTGACACAATATCGACTTATTTAGAACCTTGAGGAAAAACATGCCTTGCGGATTCAACTGGAGAGTCAGGTGGAAGACTTGTGGAAGCAATTTCAGCAGGCACTGAGGAATTACAATGAAACAACAGAGGAAAGAAAGGCAGCGTTTGAGAATCTGCGGGATAAAGATGAAAAGAGTGCAAAAGAAATAGAAATGCAGATGAGAAAACTGCAGAGAATATCAGTAAGTATAGTTGTCCATACTGTAATTGGTTATGAATGTGTTTATTAATATTTTGTCCTCATTTAACTTGAATTGACATTGATATTTTGTGTGGTCCTTGATGTTAATGTCATTTTTATACTTTGCAGGACACAATTGCTCAGCTGAGAGCCAAGATGGCACAGAATTCCAAGGAAAGTGAGGAGAGGAATCGTGAGTTACGAGACCAGCGTGAAGTGATTGCGCGTCACTTTCACGAACTCAAAAGCCAGATGAATAGATTTCGTGAAAATGAGAGAGCCAGGCTAACACAGTTGACGCTACAAAGTAGTGCAGCCTTGAAAGAGCTGCAAAGAAAAGTTGAAAAGGTACAAAATAAATGTGATATACTGTATTTATTGAATGGCTAAAAAAGATGTCAAAGAAAGAGCTACAGTATTCCCATTTAATTACTGTTTGAAATTTGTTCTCATAACACTATTGATTTGAAACAGTATACATTTTATTTTTTAAGGGTGAGAGGATTTTGAAGTTAGCCGAGCAGTGTAGAAAGTTAGAGACAGAAGAAGAGAAGGTTCTACCATTTTATGCATCATCACTAACAGAAGAAGAGCAACATGATGTAGCTGCTGCTGTTGAGGAGCCTCCCTCTGAACCACTGGCAGAGGTAAGAAGTTCTTCCTTTCATTGCATTACATTGTAATATGACATTTTTGTTTAGTATGTTGTCTTGTTAAAGCATTGTGCAATTTCATCAAATTTCCCCAACCTTTTCCTATAATATGATTCTATCTCTCCAGATGATGCACCAGTACTCATCTCTTGAGAACTTCTGGAAGCGATACAATAAAGTGCTTCTGGATCGTGTAGCTTTGGATAAAGAGAAAAGCACCCTGATGGAAGAGAACCAGAGGTTGCGTGCCATCCTTAAGCAGTACCTGGATGGCATCTCTGTCAATGATGAGATCTTGAGCCAACACAACCCACTCTTTGTAGTCAACCAACGAACCAATGTCCAGTAAGTTAATAACCTCATTGAAATTATTTACATATAAACAGATGATATTGTTGTCCCTGGTTAATTATTAAATATTACAATGCGTCAAATATATAGTGAATATTACTGTTTCTATTCACATATAGGCATGTAGGCTTCTTATACTGTGTGATAGCAGAAAATAGCCTATGGTATTGCAGTTCATTTTAAGTATTATTGGTGCTATTTATTAGATGTGGAAGCCCATAAACACAGCCTAGCTGTTGTTATTGTGTTTTTATTCATATTGATATATTTCCATTACAAAATCTAGTACAGTGAAAAGTGTGTTCATTTTATGTTTTCTTTTTTTAGGATGTCTGTTCCAATCCTGGATCCAAGAGTGAAGAGACCAACACTGACAGTGGTGGAAGCAGCCCATGTCATCAAACACACCATCTAGATTTACCCTCACAAGTCCTTACCATTCCTAGATATAATAAAAAGATGCTTCCCACGCAACTAATTTCATGACAAAAATAATATAACTATAGACAAACCTTATATCTTCATATGATATAGACAAATATTTATCAAATGTGTTGTAAATAAAATTGTTATTAAACTACAGTGAATTTTTAGAATTTTATTGTTTTGAAAAATATTGTTCAATGTGTAAGGAAATGCAGTACACTTTTCGGGACAGAGAAAGGGATTGTTTCCCGGTGTACTCTCTGATTCACCTCCCAGACATGCTCACTGAACATAAGTCTTTGGTAGATAATTATGATGAATAAATAAATAGTAAATTCACTTTTGCCTGGACACTGTGACTAGGCAGACATTACATACATCTTCTGAAGGATTGTGAAAGCAGGCAGACATTCTAACTTTCTGTTGGAGTGGTGGATACAAGGGAAGGCGAAGGGTTTCAGCCGGCCCATTCCTCCTAAATTTTTGGAAATTTTTTTTAAATGAAAAATTAATTAATTTTGCATATGGTGGACCCTCTATCTGTCGAAGTCCCTCCCTGGGCCCTCAAATTCCTGGGTCTGCTACTGAGTAAACAAAATACTGCTTATTAAATTTCTTATTAAAAAACTTATTTTTTCAAAATCCATTAAACCAAGATAATTACACAACTACACAATATGCAAAGTGTTTGTGTGATTTAATGAAATATCAAATATTAATCATAAGTTTTGACAGGAAATTATGTAACAAAACATCAGGATATTAATAGAGAAATATAGTTACTAAATAATTGCACATTTGATAAATGTTCAAAAATGAAAATGGAAAAAACTATTCCATTCTGGTCATTATCACTGAATAATCAATCCCATGATTAGATAAATTATATTGTATACTCATATGACCACATATCAAATGATCAAAGATGAAATTTTCAAACAAATGAGGCAAGTTGTGGCAAAATGGTTAAGTTGCAGCAAAAATTGAAATTCAAGTTATTGGTATTTTTAGATACCTGAGTATGTGATCTTTAAAATGAGGGGTCAATCATTGAAATTGGACATTTCAAGCCTAAGTTATTGGAAAGTGAAAGTACAGCAAGATAAACATGATTTTGAGTAATTGCCTTTCAAAGTTATTTGTGCATACATTGTTTAATAGCATTAACTATCAAAATAACATTAAATAAACAATTTGTTGACCACTTCCAGAACTAATACTTTGGGACATGATTAATAAGACATTAAACTGTTGATCTATAGTGAAAACAAATTTGGACTTTTAGGCAATACTTTATAGTTCATTTACTCAATACTGGCCTGTGCGACAACTTAACCATTCGCCACGACATGCCTCAAATGATCTTACAACCATGGAGGAATTAGTAAATGATAATTTTACAAATTTATCACAATGAATTGATTACAAATGAAATGATAATGCAATAAAACAAGCATATAATCAACTGATCACATAATTAAATAACAAATGATTCTTAACAAAAAAATAAACATTAAGTGACCAAACCACCAGTGGCTGAATACTGTTTCCCATGAAGTGAAATACCAAGATGATAGCACTGTACAGTATAAATGAAAAACTTACTTAAAAAAAACAAAACAAAAAAAAACAAAAAAGCAGTAATTTACAGCACAATCCTACAGATAAATATAATGACATCTTGTATCCAAAAATAAATGCTCATGGGATACCTAGCAGATGGATACATAGACTACCATAGAACCTCCCCACCCCCTGGGGAATATTCCAAATCATTCTTCTCCAGATCAATTAATTCAAAGTCGTTCACATCCTACTAGGGACCCAATTATAATCCTGGTGGAGACAACTGCTCATGACTGACGATGAGCATCTTAAACAGCTGTGATGGACATTTCCTACTATTCAACTTCATCTCTACCCCTCTTGTTATACTCCCCCTTTTAGAGTCCTTAGAAGGTCAGCTTTACCCACCAAAAACAGAACTTAATATTTCTTGCCCAAGGGCACAAACAGAATGGACAATATGGGATTTGAACCATGACCTTATGGTTTCAATCCTGAACCCCAACCACTAACTCCCACGATTTGCTAAACATGTTGAAAAAACCCAATTTTTTAAAAATAAAAACAATAATTAAGAAAAACATTTTAATGGACAACTGTTGCACTAACCACTCCCACTAAATAACAACAAATAATAAAGAAAAACATTTTAATGAATAAATACAGAAATGTAAGGACATAGGTAATAATGATAA